TTAAGCAAAGAACAAGAGGGAAAGGAGAGTGAGTTGAGTTAGAAGAGGTTAAAGGGGGGAAGAATGGTGATTGGAGGAGACGACCTGGGGTGCTGAACACACGATACAATATGCAGATAATGTATATTATAGAACTGTACACCTGCAACCTATATAATCTTATTAACCAATGCCATCCCAATATATTAAATAAACTCTAAAGCAATTTTAAATGAAAATTAAAATAATAAAAGAATGGCACAAATAGTAAAGGTAAAAAGCATGATGATTAAATCTTTTTTGCTGAGCATGTGTTAATATCAACATACCTTACAGAACTATTTGATATTGAAGGATGAGCTGATTTACATATATGAATATTCAGATAAACACATAGCTCTGCAAAACCTGAAGCTTTTATTTACATAGTATACCATGACTTAAGCTCACCTAGAAAGTCTATGAAAGTTGACTTTCTCTAAACATAGTCAAGAGAAAAGCAAATCACTAGAAACATACTTAAAAGCTCAATTTGACTATAGTTTTTCTTGAGTTAGTCATTATTCTTGACCTATACCCAATATAAAATTGTATCTATTTAAAGTATAGTAAAATGTTTTCACTCATGTGATAAAGCAAGCTGGTCTACTCTTTCTCGAATTCAGGCCATAACCAAGTACTGACTGTTCAAAACAAACAAGAAACAAAATAATCTCTAAACAAATAAAAGTTACACATATATGCAAAACCACCCAGGGATGGGATATTGTTTCTTTCTCCTCTAAGATGTTTAAAATTCAATCAAAGAATTTAGTGGCTTTTCTTTCACTGAAACATTTCATATTTATCAGCTCTTTCAATTAAAACTATGGGTAAAATGTCATGTAAGCACAGCAAATACGAAAGACTTTAGACCCCTGACATATGTGGTAGGCAGGCTTCTAAAATGGCCTCCAAGATTCTCACCCGCTAGTGTACACACCTTATACCATCCATGTCCCTGAGCGTGGGTCAAGTTTGTATCATGGGAACAGGCCTATTACCACTCCTGGCATAAAGAATCTTGCTGCTGTGGTTAAGATTGACCTTGAATTGCTCAAAAGGGAAATTATCTCAGTGGAACTGAGGTACTGACAAGAGTCCTCCAAAGCTGAGTCTAAACGTCAGAGACAGAGGAAGTTTTAAGAGATTCAGACTGGGAGAATTCCCCTGGTCTGGAAGGAGCAAACAGCCCCTTTGTGGATGGTCACAGAGCAGAGAATGGCTTGGGAGGTCAGACGAGCAGATTCCTCGGCCAACAGCCAGTGAGAATACAGGAACCTTAGCCTACGGCAGCCTGAATGAGTCGCAGGACAAGTAGATCCGGGTGATACCTTGATTTCTGAAGTGTGATTCCGAGCATAAAGCTCAGTTGGTCTTTGCTGACTTCTAGGTGTTGTTTTAAGCTGTTAATTTGTAATTTGCTATGCAGCAATAAAAAAAAGTGTATTATGGGAAGGGAGTGAAGAAGGGATTGAGAAAAGGGAGAACTAGCAGGAAAGCCTCTGAGGCTTTCAGGCTGTATACTCAAGTGGCTAACACACTGGGGTGGGTTCAAGGTGATTGTTTAAGTAGCCAAGTAAAATATGAAAGCTTCTAGTTGTGTATCTCACCTTTAAATTTTTACTTTTGGGGGTATATTTAATAATATACGTAATGTTAATACATGCAGATAATTTATAAATGTTCACATAGAGGTCCTGGTTAAAATAGTTTAAGGAAAAAAACCCTTCTAATCAACGTATAAGACACACCTCAAAGGATGCCCTAACTGCCCCCTCCTTTTACTCCTCGCATTCATTCCATACTAAAGTTTAGGTCTATGCCGGCTTCTTAGATTGGGTAGTGTCTCTTCTGGCATCTTGTAATCCTAAAGACAGTCTTTCTAGGAGCCCTTGCAAGTTAAATTTTATTGACTGAAGCAATGTTTGAGAATTTTTATTTGGGGACCTTGTTAAAACAGAACCCCAGGTCTCTTCCTTAGAGATTAAATTTAGTGGCTCTGGGGAGAAGTGGAAATCTGTTTAAAAACCATGTCTAAATCATTCCCATTCTCATGTTATTTGGTAAAATGGGCATCCAGGAATACATATCAAGTCAGCGTAAGGGAAGTGGAGAGTGTGTCCTCTGGCAGAAACATAATTGTACAATTCCTTACCTTGTTGCCAATATTTACCTGTAATGTATCATGTTTTTCATATCCCATGCTTAGGCATTCAAATTTCTGAAATGCTGGACATGCTATAATCATCTTTAAGGGTTTTTTTGGTGTGTTTTTTCGGTGAGATGGTGTTACGGAGAGTATGTGAAGTGGTAAGCAATCTCTGCACCACATGTTCTTGTTCACCAAATTTATTGTTGAACATTCAGAACACCAGGTTATGACAGATTGGAAAGAAAGCACCAAAAATTGCTACACATTAATACCTGAGCAGAGACTGAGGGCAAATATTCACCTATTAAACCCTACACCATAATGTTGAAACACAGATAAAAACATTCACAACACTCTACAGAGTACAATAAATTGCATTTTGTGAATTACAACCAGTTAATGCAATAATGTTAATTATACACTATACCAAAAATACACAGAAAATTACACATAAGTATATTTAGTACACCATACATTGTACAAAGCACTGGAAAAGATCATGCATGTTTAAATGAAAGATCCGCAAGGTGACAATATCTTCCAGTATATACTATAGGACAAATTTCTTTGTACTTAAGTATTGTTACTATTCACTGCATTTTCTGGATGAGAACAAAATTATCCATGTGCAAATAAATGAATACTGGGTCTACCTCAGCATAACGGTTTATCTTCTATAAACTTTTAACTGTAATACAAAAACTGATGCAGGTTAACAGCCATGTATTTTATTACATACCCTTGCCCAAACTACTTTCAACTCAGTTGGACTATGCTTTAAGGAAAGACATGTTTTTCTTTCTGCATACTTTTAGAGAAACCTATATTTATGTCTTTGTGGGAAGGTAGTGAACATAGAATGGGAGGAAAGAAATGTGTTGACTTTATGTTCAAAATTAAAATAGAAAAAATATGCATCAAATTATGAGAGATGTGGGCTGCTTTTAGCAGAGACCATGAATGTCCTATGAATGAAATAATTTGTTTAAATAGAAATTATATTCATTATTTTAAATAAACATTGTAAAAATGCAAGTCTTTACATTAAAGAAACATGCAAAACGGGAGCCAGTTCTCTCGAACCGTAAAAATAATTAGGAAAGAAAAAGAAAAACAGAAAAGGGGGAAATAATATTTAAAGACATACTATGTGAATCTGAGTTTAATTACTGAAAAATTATTATTAGGTAAAATTATTTTACACATAAATAAAAACCCCTAATCTGAGCAAAAATAAGTACAGGGCTTAGGGAAAAATTTGTATTTGATAGAGTATTTATTAAAAAAATACAAAAAATTATGTTGAATAAGATTAATCTTTCTGTGTATAATAAATTCAGAACAGAAGTGCCACCACCATCTTCTAAAAAAAATTTTCCACGGACTTTTGCCAAACATAAATTTCTGTAGCTATAAAGTATAAGCCAATTTTAATTGGAAATGAGAACTCTGGAAATTAAGAGCTGCCTCTACAGCAGAGGTCCTGCAAATACTAAGGGAAATACTGCTCAACTTTTATTTTAAATTTTTACTTCACCAACCTCAAAAAAAAAAAGAGTTGGGACCAATTTGAGAAGACCACCAACAGTAAAATACACAGTTATAAAATTGCAGGGCATTCCTTCCTCATTGTAAGGCACAGTCTACTTTATCCCAAACAACTATAAGTTCAAGGTCACAGTGATAATATGCATTCACTTTTGGTCTGGTTTCTCATGGGTACACTGCTACATTTAGTTAGCCTTAAGTTTAAGAAACCGTAATACAATCACTTTAAAATAATACATTTAAGTCATTTTTATATTTTTAAAAATGTAAATACACAACTTCCTAATTTATATACACTAAAAATTGGAGTTTTTCCCCCTTCACAGTGGAGGAAGAGAAGGTTATTTCTACCAATATTCAAACAAATATGTATTTGATTATGTAGAAAGCATGGTTAGGTTAAATACAGGCATCTCCTACTTAGGATAAAATTATTCAACACAAAGGACAAACTCATTCCAAAAAACAGTGTTCACTTAATTTTTAGGTCTTGTACGTCATCTATTTACTAATATCCAGAGTCCCCACCAGATTATCAGATAAACTGTCACTAAATCAAGGCCCAACATTTTAATATTTGGCTTTCTCAGCTGCCTCCTTATTACTTCCAAGACCACTTACACACACCGCGTCAACAGTATGAGGCAGAGAGATGGTAAGTGACATTAAGTTAAGGAAAACACTGTAACATGAGGGACTAAAATTCCCTTCAAGAATTTGTACTGGGGAGAAACTAAACAATTTTAACCAGAGAAACATCACAGTTTTTGAGTCTATCGTATTTCTACTTTTCTCTCAAGAGTACAACACTGTACTGATATTAACACTTTAGCATTAACATCTTGATTTTTAAAATATTTTCCTTTAAGATATGCATTTTAAAATATTTACTTCATTGTATTATGTTAAGTTCAAGTGGATAATTTTCTCCTGTGAAACACGTGACTGTACAAAGGGACTGAATGGAAATACAAAGAAAGCGAATTCTATAAACTTCCATTACACAAATGAGACACCTGTAATAAAAATCATCGATGCAACAAATTTAAAGTTTTACATCATAGAATGAATCTAAAATAAGACCACCTCAAATGATTACTTCAATTAATTACCAAAAGATCATTATTAGATAAACTAACTTTTACCCCCCAAAATCAGAGAACATTATTCCAGAAATAATATGAAATAGAATACAACTGTGCTATAAGTTTTATATATTTTCAAAGATAAATTAGGGTACGGAATATAAGTTTTGAGGATTTACATATTTAGTATAAGTCCTAAATGAAAAATGCTGAAAAGATTATTTTTGCTTTAATCCCAATAATGCTAAGAAAAGTTCATTGGCACAAATATCTGGAGGTATTTTACATTTCCATTTAGCTTTGGTGGCAAAGTGTGTTTTGCTAACCATATGAGTACAGTTCTATTTTCCAATGCAGAGGTTCATGCTAAAAAAAAACCCACAAAATCAAATGTCTTTTTTCCTTAAAAAAGGGATGTAAAAAGTCCAATATGAAACAAAACAAGTGCCATATGAAATACAAAATATGCCTATCATTTAGGCTTTGAACAGTTAATAGTTCTATGCTTTGTGTATAAATCTTTTACTAGTAACCTTACTACTATACAAATACTAAAAACCAAGAGAACATTAAAAAAAATAGCATATGAACTTTACAAAAATGGCTACCTTTAGACTTCCTAAACTAAGATTAGAATTCAAAATATGCAAAAAAATTTACACTTAACTAATTAAAATACATCAACAGTTTTTCTCCTAAGTGTTCAAAGTTACAATGTACAGAATCAGTGCTGAGTGATTCTGACTCATATATATCAAGTTCTATACAAAGTCATCAGAAATTAACTGGTTACTTGGTATTTTAAAACAGTAATTTTTGGAAGCCTAACACGCCAAACACTTTTAGTAAGTACTGCACTTGACTTGAAAAATTTGAGTTATGGACAATGTAATCAAGATGTAGCTTAGAATATCACCTAGCTTTTGAAAGACACGCTACAAATTCATGTGTACTATTGTACAGGGATAGGCAAAAGTAGGTTTACAGTTGTGAGTACATAAGACAGTTTTTTTGTGTTTTTATTACTGTATTATTTACTTTACGTATGAACTGTAAACCTACTTTTTGCTCATCCCTGTATTTATACTGTTAATGAAACAGCAGTCTATTCTATTTCCAAATTTTATTCCATTCTTAAAATTGTTATTAATATACAAAGTTCATTCTTCTGTAATCATAATATATTATCAAGGAGAGTGAATTCTTGAGCATTTATAGTACACCTATAAGGATTTGGATTACTGATCTCTCTTTCCTGTATTATCCTTATTAACAATAGGGAATTTGAGTAACCTCATAGACTTTCCATTGCCTCAGGCTGTTAAAACTTTTTGTGAAAGAACAAGTAAAAGTTCATTAAAAGAATTTGAAATGTCCTTTATTCAAAAAGACTGGGATAAAATAACTCCCCCTCATCTTACTACTTTGTAGAATTATCTTCTACATTTATTTCCCTAATGTGGCAACCAAGTCTTCTGTTAGGGTCTAGTTTCATACTACGAAGATACTCTTGTTGCTTCCTTTATCCTGGGGACTGCCATGCTCTCCAAATTGACTTTCTGCCTAAAACCTCCCAAGGCATCTGTGCCTATGTCAGACTGAGAAAATAAAGACTGATGATGAAAAGTAGTCCACAAATGTCCGGTCATAGAAGGTCTCAACACATTTAAACTTTTCCCCCCCAACTGATTTTAATTTACTAATATTATAAATGCAGCACTGTAAAGTTTTGCACTAAACCTTGTAATAAAGCAAGACATTACACTAATTTAGACCTAATGCTTAAGATGAAAGTAGAGGCCAACTCTATTATCTGGGGATTCAAGAACCAACAGCCCTAGTTTGTCTCATAATCTCTATGTTTCCCACATTTTTTCCCAGAGCTCTCAGGAACTGAACTGAAAACTGAGTCTTACTTCCTTTTATTCCTCTTGACCACCTTCTGGAAGAAGTGCTAATGAATAATCATGTGAAATAAATAAACTATGCCAGAAGTGGAAATTTTAAAGTTAGGTACAGGAACTTGATGATGAGCAGATCAGACAATATGCCTCCTGTGTGTATGCATGTGGTGGGAATGTGTGCCATCTACGTGACCAATGCAATAGTCAAAGATAAACATTTGCTAGGCCTACTGTAGTTCTTTCTTTTTCTTTACTACATAATCATGTAGATATCATAGTGGTCAATCAAGAAAAGTTTTCCATTATATATCTAAATTTATCTGACCAAAATATGAAAAAAAAAAAGACTGATTGATTGATACATGATTACTATATATTGAAGAGACTAAAAAAAAAACCAAACAAACCAAAAATCAATGTTTACCAGGCACAAATGGTATTTTTTAGGACCGCTGGTTTAAGTATTTTCATTTTGGCAACAAACAAGAAAAGAGTTAGCAGAACCTGTTTAATTTCTGGCATGAAAGAGATCCAGGCAAAAGGGCTTTAATGATTTCTACTGTGTTATCAGGCCTAGATTACAAGAGTAGTAACTCCAGAGGAGGCTTTAGAAACACAGAAAGTACTGGTGTTTTTCCTGCCCAGCCTATATTCGATCCAGTTCCCAACAATAAGGTCCAAGAAAAAGTTACTCAAAATGCAACAAGTTCTAAATGAAAGTGTGATATTAGAGCTCAGAAGTTTGCTGAACTGGATAATCCCTAACTCCTAATAATTCCATTTTTAGTAACATCGCCATTAAAGCGCAGCTGTTTTACAAGCTAATACAGGTTGTAAGCATGACAGAAACAAAGTGGAATTCAAACACAAAAGCCCTTTCCTTTACTTAAGTGATAGGAACATCCATTTTTGCTAATCTTCAGAGACTGCCTTCTCCTCTCTAGTAGTTATTTGGGTTTAAAGTGCGTCAAGACTTGGTGAAGACCCTGTCACAATGTTTAATGTCTATATATATGTATATAATGGCTAAAGATCCAACCTACTGTTGTTTCTAAAATGTTTAATTAGAATCTTTTTTGTAACTCTAAAATGAAATATTTTGTTGGAATAAATAAGACTTTAAAACTTGATTAACTACACTCTCATAAAAGTGTTAGTGACAATTAGTGTGCCTAGTCTACTGCTTTAAAAAGCTAATGTACAATACTGCTCACAAATGAGCCATTTAAGCTTGTTACAGTCTATTCATGAGCAGTACTCGCTAAACACGGGGAATTCAGATCACAGAAACACAATGATTACGGCTGTCAATAGGATTCAAATTAATGAGTATTTTAAAAGTTCTTTCTGTATGTGAACCTCAGTTCACATTCAGAAATAGTTAAGTGACGCATTTAACCTGTAACTTGAAGTACAATTACACCCGTGAAAAAAATAAAAAATGCCATGTGTATGAAAGTTGTTTATGAGCATACAGCTAAATAGGAAAGGGCAGATGTGTCCTTATTTAAACGTATGTGTGATATACCATGGGACAAGTGTATAATCTAATAAATTCCTTGCAGGTACTGAACACACAAGCATTTTGTGTTTTATCCTTTTTGCTACTTCTCTCAAATAAGCGGCTGCTAATGTCTGCCACATCTGCTATGAGGTTACCACTTCCCTTTAATGGACTCAGTAAGAGAAAATATGACTTCTGAACAATAGGCATGAAGTTGGGAAAGACAACAATGGAATCAAACAGGCTTACAAGCCTCAGAAATGATAGCAAGACCCCCTCTGATGCCAACAGAGCAAGGACCTGAGGAGCTACTGAGAGGAGAAGTGGAGCAACCCTGTACCAGCTGCAGCAGGCGGACAACCCTCTGTAGGCAGTAACAGCTGAGAGGCTGTAGTGGAATCCAGATGCAATGGCAGAGAAAATGAACTTGGTCCTCTGGTGCTAAGGAGGACACAAGTTCACAGGTGCAACAGTGAAATTACTGAGACTTAAGGACTTGAGAGATTTTAGGTATTTACAGCATATACATCTAAAGGAAGGGCTCTATCAGCCAGGTATTCCTCAGCCTGAGTTTATCCTTTCTTAAGGCAAAGATACCTAGCTCCATTACCTACTTCCTACTCTTGTAGCTAAAAATAAGCTGAAATCTGAAGTGAAATAGAAATATCATTCCCTTATCTGCCAAACAGTGATCACCTTGGCAAATTAAGATTCTACTGTTAAACCTAGTGGCTAGAGCCTACAATTTATTCAGGTATACTGTTTATACTTATGCTATTAATGGGGTAACAATTTGTCTGTTATTCCATTAGTATTACAATTTTATACACCAAATGTGGTGCTGTACTTGATCACGCTAATTTTTTTTCCATAGCAGTCAAAAATTGAAAACCTAGACTTTTTTCTGACCACTGGAATTTAGTTATTTTAATAATACATCTTGACCTGAGGCACTTTTGACAACCATGGGTCAATGGTTAAACTGGTAAAGAAAATGACACAGAATGAATAACTGATGTGTTCCAATCCCAGTAAGTAAATATCTATGGAAATTTTCTTCAAATTTAACAAGAGATCCCTGTAATTGTCTCCTCACATTCACCAAGAATAAAACTACGATTTGTATTTGGAAAACAAGGAAATTTCACTAAGTTAAGTTTGAATTATTTCCATCCATCAGTGTTGCATTCGTTACTAAGAAAACATGTCTCCTTAGAATAAAAAGTTGTATTTTCACAGATGTAAGAAAACAAAAGATCTACATTGTTCACCATGGCTGCCAAGAACTGACTGAAGACTCTTCATGGCTACTTCATTTTTGAGAAGCCAGACAGTTGTGAATTTTATCAATCTTTTAAGACGTATTTCTCAATATAAGTACTGTAGCAAACACAAAGTAACCCACTTTTCAGAAGGAAGTTTGATGAAATGAGCAGAATGCTTGAGGTGAGATTACAAAAAATGCTTTACATTTACTAAGTGTTTAGGAGAAGCTCCCTAGTATGACCAGTCAAGCAGACTAGCTGATATGCAGAGGAGTCCTCAAAGACAGTGTCCACTGTACCCTTTTATCAATTTTTTTAAAAAATGAGTATTACACAGATGCCACACCATCAAACAGAACCATGCTTCAACTACTCTCTTCAAGCATTACAAAACTAATTTCCTATTTTCAATGTTGTAAAAATAGATGTGTCTTCTCCATAGGACCTTGTTGTCCACATTGATGGATCTGTGCAACCCCTCTTATTACTGACCCTAAGGGCGAAAATCAACTTTATCGTTCCCTAAATACAAACCTACATAAAGTTACATAATGCGTGGAGTAAAAGAGGAATGAAAACAAAACACGGAACCCTGTATAAGTGTGTGGACCCAAAAGCAATCACACCAACTGCCAGAGGAACTGGAAATTGTGAAGTAGTCTTCAACAATTTACTGTAAAAAGAGAGAAAGATATATTATGTACATTGTGAGCAAAAACAAAATGTCGATCATTCATAAAGTTTTGAGAAAGTGTTCTCAAAAGCGTTTTAGATTAAGTCATTTTTCATATAATGAATTTAACTGTCCATACTTTTAAAAGTTATCAATCCAAGCCATATTTTGGCTAGAAAAAACATTTCTATTAAGTAGGGAACTAGTTTTGTTTAGTATTTAACATTTAACAACAGAAAAACACTAGTTGGACTTTTACTCAGCGATTCTACCTACCTTTAGAAATCTATCCTAATAACATAATCAATAATGTTTACTAAGACTTAGCTACAGAAATATTTAACACTACTTAAAATAGAAAGAAAAAACCCAATAAACCCTCAACCAAACGAAAAAGGAACCAGCCTTAATTCATAACAGGAGTATATAAGGCAAGAAACTAAGTATTTTTAAAGGAAAAATAAAGATAGCCCCCGACCTGTGATAGTTAGACTTAGGATCGTTTGACTTGTCGATGGTGCGAAAGCAATATACATTCAGTAGAAATTTTAATTTGACTTTTGAATTTGGATCTTTCTCCAGCTAGCAGTATGTGGTGAAATACCCTCTCATGATGCTGGGCGGCAGAGCAAGCTGCAGCTCCCAGTTAGCCAGGCAGTCATGAGGGTGAACGACCGGTACTCAAGTGTAGTATTAAGCACATTTTTGAATTATAGTATTTTCAATTTATGGACTTATCATGATTTAACCTCATCGTAAGTCAAGAAGCATCCATACTATCAGCAAGGTCTATCACCTTTTACTTTGAAAACAGAGGAACTGAGAATAAGAGGGTTAAGAAACTTGCCTAAGGATATAGAGTTATTAAACAGCAGACCTAAGATTTAAATCCCAGGTTGGCCTGATTCTAGAATATCTACAAATGTCTGCCAGAATCAAAGGGAAAGGCTTTGAGAGGAAACAGCTGGTCAAGGAAAAGTCAAGTTTTATTATGGAGAACTTTAAGCATATGCATAAGCAGATCAGCAGGATAATGAACCTCATGCACCCATCGCCCAGCTTCAAAAATTCGCAAGTCATGGCCAAACTGACTTTACCTATATTCCTATCCACTTACATTCTTACATGTTTCTGGAAGCAAATCTTAGACATCCTATCTTTTAAGGGTTAACTTTTTAAAGAAAAAACATTATTATATCCTAATAAGTAAAACCCACAACTAAGGAAAAAAGTGTAATATATGTTTATATAAACTATATTTGCATATATACCATAATTATGTTATAGCTTTCCTTTTAGGGACAAAGTATTAGGAATAAAGAGCATACCTCATACATAAAAGAAAGGGTGATAAAGACCAGAAATAGATATGAGAAAGAGAAAGATTAAACAACCATACCTGGATTTTATTGAAACATTGTAAGTATTTCCAAGAATTGCCATAGTTGGAATAAGGATAAATGCCAAAGGTTTACATGGATCAGGATTAAGTTTAAAGTAGTACCTATATCAAAGAGAAAGAAAAACATAAATCAACAAAGCACACCAAATCATTTTAAAGTACCAGAATCAATCAAAATCAGTGATTTTTAAAACATTCCAGTAGCAATATGGATATAAGAGAGCTCTAAACAGCTCATGAAATCTTTGATAAATAATTTTTGCTCTAAATCATCTTTATGCCCAAGCTTTCTTGTCTTTCTTTTTTATCCTCACCAGAGGGCACATACTCACTGATTTTAGAAGAGAAGGTAGGGAGAGAGGGAGGGAGAGAAACATCACTGTGAGAAACAATGACTGGTTGCCTCTCACAGATGCCCCAACTGGACACTGAACCTGCAACCTAGGCACGTGCACTCACCAGGAACTGAACCCACGACCTTTTGGTTTGCGGGACAACACTCTAACCAGCCAAGCCACACCAGCCAGGGCATATGCCCAAATTTCATATGAAATACTATGTTCAGGAATTACTAAAGGAAATGAAAATATTCACTATAAAAGCATTTCCTTTTTATTGGTATATGCCTGAAAGTACATATATAAATTTTATAAAACAAATTATTCAAAATAGGGTCGATTCCCAGTGTAGGCCACATGCCTGGGTTGCAGGCCAGGTCCCCAGCAGGGGGTGCACAAATTGAAACCACACATTGATGTTTCTCTCCCTCTCATTCTCCTTCTCTTCCCCTCTCTAAAAGTAAATAAATAAAATCTTAAAAAGAAAGTACACACACACGTGCACGTGTGTGTACTATTTTAAAAAGATAAAAAATAAAGGTTTATATAAAATAATTTGTTCCTTATCTTTCTAAAATTCAAACTCTCATCTCTTGCACTTATTGACAGGGAAAAAACTATAGACTTTCAGAATCATAAATTTGTGCTCCTTAAATAACTTTCTCCCCAAATCTGTGAACCAAAATCTGGATCTTGACTAAACTGAAGGAAAAAGGAAGGATATTAAAATCTGATAACCTGTGGTTTAATTTATCACAATTATTTTAGTTCTGTGATTTTAAAATTATATACTCTCAGCAATTAATAATCTGAAAGTTTTGCATAATTTCTGTAAACTATATTGAGTAGAGGTTTAATTACTACTGAGACAGGTAGACTATTTTTTTGAAACAACTTATCAATAACTAAATATTCTAGAAATATTTTGGAGGGCATTTCAGACTCTTGATCTAAGACATTTACCTGGTAGAAAAGGAAATAATAGTTTTCAATAGTAAGATAGCTGATCATTTATTTTAGTTAGATGTATGGAACATACTAGAAAAGTACACACTTCTTTCATTATTTCTAATATTTTTAAATAGAACCTTTTTACTTTCCCCCAAATTTAAGAAAACATAAAACTGATCATGAATTGAAAAATAAAGCACTAAGATTATGAATACCTTAAATCAACAAAATAAAGCACATTTTCACATGAGTAGATCAAAGAATGTTAAAGGTGACATAGCTCTCATTTTGGGGGCAGATTTTGGGGAAGTTTATTTTCCCAAAGTTTATATTCTCATGGTGAGGGAGAAAATGTGAATGTATTAAAAATAAATTTCAGGGGATATATAGCTTCCTGTGCTTGAGGTAGTTTTTGGACCACTGGATTCTAGCAAGTTCCTACTTGTAGATATTTATTGTTTGAACCACATAAACTATAATTATATAAATAAAACGCACCTAAGATTCTTTAACCAGTAAATTAAAGATGGCATGCTGAGCAATACAATCCATGATAATAAGTTAATCACAGTACTGTGCATGCGAAGACTATCTTCAGCATCGCTGGCAGATAAACGAAGATGGTGTGATGCAGAGTCTTTATGCTGATTGGATTTTTTTTCACTTCTTCTAGAGTGTTTCGGATTCTATAAACCAATGAAGTAAAAATATCAAGGTATTAAGTAAAATTTGTTTATTTTATTTAGAATCATACTTAATTACTTAATAGCTAAATAAATACATCTTTTCACTATGAAATTGATATAAAATACTGAAATTACCTTGCTTTAAAGTGGTTGTTATAAAATTTTTATTTCTTTGACTTGTTATTCCCACTGCTAAGAATATATTCTCTAATTACTCAAAATAAAATTAAAAATATAATTTATAATAACAATAAGTACTGACAAATATCAAATTAAACTTAGACAATCTAGGTCTATTTTAATATTGATTAGCTTCACTTTTCTTAAAACTATTTAAATTCATAATACCTTTAAACCCTGTAAAATCCCAATATTAAAAAAAAAAGAACCTTTAAAATTTCCCATGTTATTTCATGTTAAAGTGATGTAGAGTTTTAAAAATAAAACTTACCACAGTTTGGCTATGGCTATTTTTAAAATTTGTTAGACTGGCTTGCAGATGAACAATCTAGGAAAAAAATGACCATTTAATTTTGATTTTATTTTGAAACAAAAAAAACCCATTCATATTAAAACTGAGAAGCACTCTAACCTAAAATTTAAAAAAGATAAATAAAAACTACACATGCTTGCTGTCATGGATTAAAAACCAGAAACAAAATAATACAAACTTCCAGAGCATGTCTGGGCCAGCATGCAATGTTGTACCTTCTACATTGTGGAGCCTCTGAATGATGCCTCACCATAGCAACTTAAAGAGTCTTCTGAGTAAAATAATTGATTATATGCAGCATAATATAAAGTATAACATGTTATATATATTCTAAGTCTTTGACAATCTAAACTCAATTATATTTGGTGGTGAAATGTTTACAAGAATCTGAGTCTTTAAATTTAATTTACTAGATATGCTTAAGTATTTGAGAAAGCTTTGCTTACTGGATCAGTTGTTTGAAATAATCAATTCAAAAATTCAAAATACTACATTTATAAACCAAAGTAGCTCTAATTAGTTTTTTGTGATGAAAATAATCTATAATATGTATGTGCTGGGTTGGTCAAAAGGTCCCTTTAGTCTTTTCCATAAAAAAACAGACACATTCTTCATTTTCACCAATTTCTTTTTTGATTTGGATATTTTGAGTAAGTCAGTTATCTCCTGCTATTGGCTTCTAATGGATAGAGGCCAGGGGTGCTGCTAAACATCTTCCAATGCAATAAGATGGCCCCACGGCAAAGAGTTATTTGGCCAAAATGTCTATAGGACCAAGAAACTTCGCAAACCATTTTTGACACAGTAGATTAGTCACAGCACCTTTTCCATATACTGCACAATTTTTTTTTTTGCATTTCAGTTGTGTTTTTACCTTTCTTGAAATAATAAAAGCATAATATGCTGAAAATGTTGCTTATTTCCTTCCATCTTCAATATTAAAATGGCTACATAAAAAGTCACCAATTTTGATTTTTTTTTAATGAGACTGCAGATATGACAGCTATCACAATACAATCTAACAAAATTGCTCTGAATAAAGTTAAAGACAACTAAGAGCTACCAGAGCCATCCTATGGAAAAAAAAAACCAAATTAACTTTTTGGCTAACTCAATATTTTGCAATTATCTGGTTGATAAATATAATGAAAAGAGAGGCGCGGGGGGTGGGGGTAGGGGGAACAGGATAGTTCAGGTTCCCAAACCATTGATTTGGTCTAAATTATCCATTTGACCTCTTCATTAAATAGAGCATTTGCAAAAGTAGCCATTGGGATATTTTAGACAAAAAGGCTCTTCCAAACCCAAAGACATCTGAATGAACTTTTGTTTAAAAGTGAAAGAAAAATATTACCCATTTGGGTATCAATTGTCTCTACATAAGACTAACATGGAGAGTATGCAGTGTACGACCTATATTTTCTTGCAAAGCTATCAGCTTTCTTGTGTTTTTTTATTTGCCCAGTAAGATTATCAGCCTAATTACCTATTATTGTCTTCTGATTCTTCAGCAACATATGTAACATTTTATATTATTTCAGCATGATCAATAGCTCGATCCTACTGACATAACTTTTTGTTTTGTCTATAATCTCTGTTCAAAGAGAAGTGTAAATAAAAATTGCTCTATTAAAATGTTTTTTAATTAGTTAACATAACTTGCAAAGACAGGAACCAATTTGAAACAGAGTAATTATATCATCTCCCTCCCATCTTTTTTAAACAAACTAAACCAACTCAGATTAATAATTTCAGTTTTACAGTTAATTATATATTTTAAATAACTAAGATGTTAAAAGAAAAAAACCTTTACCTTTAAATTAAACCTGTTACATAAGATTACTGCAGTGGTAATTAGAAATTTTTGTTACCAACGCCTACACAAAATTCTATGCCTACCTTGATACAAAGCCCAGCCATTTTGACTCCACTGATCTGACATACCTTAAACACATAGTAAAGATAGGTAAGAAGTATGGCCAATGCTCCACAAGTTACCCAACTAACTATGATCAAAGCAATGGTCAAAATGGGTAAGTCTGGTGATATCGTCTTGATATCTTTAGGAAGTTCAGAGGGCCTGGAAAAACAAGAATAAAACTCTTTTTAATAGTTACATATGCAGTCACATATAAGAGGAAAACAATAATCAATACTCTGCCAGGCATTCCTGCTAATAGGCGAGTACTATAAAGTTAACAGTAAGATACTTTTTAATAAAGGCAAGGGGTGACGATTGATTGTAAATTCTGTAATGTACCGTGATAACTATAGCTGACATTTGTATTAAGGATGAAAAAAATGTTGCTAAAGATAATCAGTATTTATCTGTGCCTTGTGCCATACATTTCTGATCTTGATAGGTGAAAAAACAGTTTTCTATTTCTTAAAGTCTCAAGATCACTCACACATATAACAGTTTCAGAAGCACCGCAGAAGGGTGGAGGAAGATGTATCACACCGTAACCCACTCTGTGACAGTGAATCATGTAATATGCTTGGTGAGGAGGAGTGACAAAGGAAACTAGATCAGTAGTTTACAAAAAAAGCCTACCACTAATTTCAAATTATGTCTCTGGGCCTATAATAAAACTATAGGCAATATTTTTGGAGCTCTAATATATTTCATTTAATGTGATCCTAAATATCTGATTGGTGTCTCTTGCCCTCAGGGTTGAGAAAGTCAGCAAAATAAAAGCATTGCCAGAGAAATACTTCTCCATAGAAACATTTGTAACAGTGAAATTGAAAAATAGTTGTATAATTTGCTTAGCTTTTTTGATTAACTCAAGCAATAAGGTCAAAATCAAATGTAGTATTTAACTTGCAATAAATGATTACCTTTGACAATGACATGACTTTTGTTACTAATCCACATTTTGCTAGTTATAAATCTTTTCCTTAGAAATTATAGTCTAGTAAAAACAAATTAATTTTAAGGTTCCTCATCAGCATATAATTCTTTTCTTAATTAAGAGCCATGAGAAAGTTTTCAATCACTCATTCTTTACCTTTTCAAAGCTAGCCACAATGAAGAGAGGAGTCTCACAGATGTAGAAGAGAGCAGGCCACCCCAGTAGGCAGTACATGTTCCAAACAGAAAGAGAATCAGGGATACAAGGGGGAAACACATACTCTGACTAGTTAAAAAGATGGCATCTAATTCCGGTAACAACAAAATATCCCATATTTCTTTAAACCACTTATACCTGTGGATAAAAGAAAATACAGAATAAAAGCAAAAGAAAATCAACAACTGAGATTCAAGAATTTACTGAGGTGTATTGACCAGTCACTAGACTCCCCAAAGTGCCATGATACTTATTTTGTAATTATACTTTAAAAACAAATTTTAAGTCACTTATCTTTCAAGTGAGTCTACTGATTTTCAAAGATCTGAATCCTGAGTTTCAATGCAGCTTTACTGCTTTCTATTGTTCCTTGTAATCAAGTAATAAGTAGTCTTTTTTTTTTTAAAGTTAGAAAGCCAATAGCTAGTTTTAATGACAGAAGAAAAAAATATCTAAGCAATGGTTCTTAAGCAAGAACCAACTTTGTATAAATTAAGAATGGAAAGTTAAGGAGGGAAGAGAAATCAAAAATACATTTTGTATGAGAAGAAAGAAAAAGTAATCAGGGCACTGTCTCATCAATCTTCTGTAATGGCTGTGTGCATGACCTGGGATATTCAGAGACCACGGACCATATACATCCCTTTGCCAACGTTAAAGGCCTGTTATATTTACAGTCTAAGTTTAGATTGATATATACATATGCTCTGTAATTACTTTTGAAATGATTATACTATTGAAGTTATAAGTGTTGTTCTAAGTGTGTAAGTGGAGTTATAAGCTGAAGTGTTGATACACTTACCAGGCCTTTGTCTAAGAGAAAAATCCCATTTAATAAAATAGGTCAATTGCCAGACTTATATGAGAACTTGTATTTCATTATGAAGAAAAAATGTGTTATGTACAACATTAAAATCATTATCATAGATAATAAAACTTACCCCAACAGAAACTTAGTCATAATTACAAAAGGATCAACTTTGTATGGTTTGGCTTCTTTATCCAACACAGTAGCATATTCTAAGCAATGACCTGATGATGTAAAAATTGTATGTAGTAATTAATTCACAGTTAATATGAGACATACTATATCCTGCATTGTTGTAAGAGCAACATGTTTCATGTCAGAGAAGGCAGGGTCTCCATGACAATCACATAGCCTCTTTTCAAAAGATTAAATCGAATGAACAAACTGAACTAACAAGCAAAATAGTGACAGACTTATAGAGAGAAAGCAGACTGACAGCTCTGGGACATGGTTAGGGAGGAGAGGGATCGGGCACAAAGGGAGGAGGACTCATGGGCATGGACAACAGCGTGGTGGCTGTGGGTGTGGAGGAAGGTATAAGGGGGATAAATGGTAATGGAAAAAATACAATGAAAAGATTAAAAATTACTGTAATTCAATGGTTCTCATACAAGAGTACACATTGGGTCACTTGTGAAACAAATTCTGGAAGCCAAGTCTGGGATTTTACCATTTGCGTTTTCACAAAGCTCCAGAAGTGATTAAAAAAAAAACCAACTTTACTAGATATTATTCTCATACCACACAATTCATCCATTTAAAATATATGCCATTCAGTGGTTTTTAGTATATTCATCACATATCCATCACCACAATTAGTCTTAGAACATTTTTATTTCTCCCAAAAGAAACTGTTCCCCGTCACTTCCATGTCCCCCCAGCCCCCATTCCAAGGCAACCATCAACCTAGGTTTCGTCCCCTGTATATTGTAGAGCATTTCATGTAAATGAAATAATATAATACGTGGTCTTTTGTCACTGGCTCCTTTCACTTAGCATGCTTCCAAGATTCACCCATGTATCAGCATATTTCGTTTATTCATTCAACAGGTGATGGACACCTGGGTTGTTTTACTTTTTGGCTATTAAAATAGTGCTCCTGTGAACATTTGTGTGTAAGCTTAGTGGGGGTGTATGTCTTCATCCCTCTTGGGTGCATACCTAGGAGTAGAGTTCCTGAGTCATATGGTAACTCTGTTTAACCATTTAAGGAATTGCCAGACTCCTTCCAAAAACAAAAGCAGCTACCAACAGTGTATGAAATTCCAATCTCTCCACACCCTCATTAACACTTGTAATTATTTCTCTCTTTTTTTTAATTTATAGTAATTCTAGTGAGTATGACCCACAATAATTTTTGAGAGATATACTTCCTTGGTTCAGAATTACTTCTGTAATTGGTTTGAGACATAATTCCATACTTAAATGCTCTAGATTAACCAGTATCATATATTTCTGGGGTCTCTGTGAACTATCCAGATATACATATGTTTAAGAATTTCAAAAATTTTGCCCTGGCTGGCTTGGCTCAGTGGATTGAGTGCCAGCTTGGGAACCAAAAGGTTGCCAGTTTGATTCCCAGTCAGGGCACATGCCTGAGTTTTGGGCCATGTCCCCAGTAGGGGGCGCATGAGAGGCAACCACACATTGATGTCTCTTTTTTTCCCTCTCTTCCCCTCTCTCTAAAAATAAAATAAAGAAAAAAATTCTTGAAAAAACTAAACTAAAGAACTTCAAAAACTTTATATTCAAGTATGGTGATGTCATGTTGCCAAAATAATCTCTTAATTAAAAGATTGGATCTGGCAGGATGCACTGTATGTTGCTTCTTTCTTCCTGTAATATAAATTAAATCAGGTTAAAATGAACACTAAAGGCAGACTAGAAATTATAAAAAGTCATTGAACGGCAATGACTAGCTGTGGAAGAACTTGGCAAATGGAAATAGTAGATATTTTTAGACTATTTTTATATACCTTGGGCCCCATTCTCTCTTCCGAGGTCTTGCCTCCAAACACACGTTTGTAAGGACCTTACCAAGCTGAGCCTCCTAGGAAACTATTCTAATTGCTATTCTCTGCGGAGGGCTTGTCCAATGTACTATTCAATATATATTCTCTATTTGCCTCTCCACATCCATTCTTCCCTCTTACTTTGCTCTGATTTTGGGAGGCTGACTTTTATCGACTGGCTTCTAGTTGGGTTCAGTGAGTAAGAGGCACTGGCAGATAGGAGAATGGAAGGAAATAAGGTTAGTGTGTTTACTTCCCACCTTTTTTCCTGCTGAGACACAGGTTGGCAGTGGCTGCAGAGACCTTGTACCTAAGGCTGCAGCTGCAGTAGCACTATCTTCTCCCAAGGCGCTCTAGGCTTGCTCTCTCCCTTGCCCTGGTATCTATGGTATCAGATGGTTCTGTTGCTAACCTGGTACTTTATCATTTGTTATCCTGCACATACCTTTGAAACAGACCCCTTGTTAAACTCTCAACTACTCCATTCAGTGTGCCAGGACCTAATTAATACAGTTGATACAGCTCAAGTATTACATGAATGCCTGCTATATGCCTGACACTATATTAGGCATCAGGAATAAAACAGAGAACAGGATCCCTGTTGATAAACCTCTTCATATTAAGAGGTCCTCAGAATGGAGGGAAGAAACTTCAGGCACAAGGGTATAAAATGGAAAAAGCAAGTAAGGCATTTTCTTGGAGATCTCTTAAAACTTATTAGAGGATCTCAAATTCCTGTGAACTCAAGAGAGACGAGTTGTAAATTATCAGGAAATCAATGTGTCTTCCTTAGTCACTTTAAAGATAAAAAAGTAGTAATGAAGCACTGAGGGAGGAAGGGAAGAGAGAAATAGCATTCTTACCTGCTGAGAATAGAGAGTATAACTGTCCTCCATAAGCAAGAAGGATGTTAGATACAACATAAGCAGGAAGAGCTCCACCATGAAATCTAACTACCTAGAAAACAGGCAAATCAATGCACAACTTCTGAATATTCATGTTGATAAAATAAATGTACATTCACATGAAATAAAAATGTTGTTTTTCATTTTTTCATGGCATGGCCACAAAGGTATTTCCAGTAATTGGTATCAAAAGTCTACATAAAATAAATGTTAATAATATATAGCATATTAGAAACACAGTATCTGAATTTTTAATCAAAGGCATAATAAGGAGAACATATAGAATAGGAAGTGCTACAAATGTTTTTACAAGGCACTATTGAGCCTTTACTATATTCCAGGCATGTTACTAAATCTTATTGGATCTTATATGCATTATCTCATGCTCTCCTCCCCAAAGCCTTTTGAGGTAGTTCTTATCCTTATTTTACAGATAAAGAACAAGATATGTTATACAACTTCAATTTATTTTCCTACTGTCCTCAAGCAAAATTTGTAAACAAACATGAAGGAAGAGCATCTTAAATATTTTCAATAATTTGAGGAGGACTTGACACCATTACCACAAATTCTTCAACATTTTTTAAGTACCCAACTCTGATCCTATAATACCCACATCTTCATTTTCTTGAAAAATTTCCATATCTAAACAAGAATTTGTCTGTCCTTTTCTGATGTACATATAATTATGCTTGACTACAGAACATCAAGGTAGACTTTTCTTGTCACTAACCTGAATTATGAGGCATCAGAATATGAGAGAGTATGTTATATCCTCAGCCCATACTACCAGAAACATGCTTTTGGACATACTAAAAATAGGATAGCATAATTCTTCCCCTATATTCCAAGAAATAATTTTTCTTAATAACTGATCCCTTAACTTTTTATTTATTATAACACTCCATGATGCTATTTTCCAACTTATACTAACATTAATCTTTTCTTTTTAATGTAGCACAAAATTTTTATGCATTGACTAATAATGTTCTAGTGTTCACAAACTTAATAATCATCACAATCTAGTTCTCATTAGGTTGCTGTGAGAATCAAATGAGATAATGCATATAAAAGTTTCTAATTTACATTTGTAAGTTTTATTATAATTATAGAGTCAAATGACCTAAATTAAATATATTCTGCTATACTGGGATTGCAAAACACAATTAATAAAAGGCACAATAAAAATTTCAGTGAATTTTAAAACTGTATATAATTTCCCTGACTATTCATATTATCTACAATATGTCCTGGTTGTACAATTCTGCAATTTATGATGATGTTGAATAATATAGTAGTTGTAATACTTGTTATTTTGTAATACTACTTACCTATGAATTATATAGAAGGATACTCTCCAAATAAATTTAAACTACTTTTCAACATGTTTGTTGAATATAATTTATTTTTACCTTTTACAAACTAAGTAGGCACAAAATTAAAAGTCCTTTGAAAATGTTCATTTATATCAGAATCTACAGATTTTATTAGACTATGAATTATAGTGTATGAACAAGAGTGTATAGTGAATGAAGTCTTAATATGACATTCCTTTAGCCAAGAATATTAATTTTTTTGAGAATCAGGAATCAGCTCTCATGCCTAGGAAGTATCAAACATGAAAGCATCCCCTTAAAGCCAGGATGGCCAAGTATGGCCTGTGTGCCTTTGCATAGTTTTTAGATTTTATTAAAGTGGAAACAAGAAGAACAGAGGAGAAAGAAGTAGAAAGAAGCAGCCGTAGCAGTACTGGCAGCAGCAACAGACCACACAGGATCTGCTGAAATACTTATTATCTGGCCCTTTATGGAAAAAGTTTGCAACCCCTGCCTTACAGGATCTGTTCACAAGGCAATAAAAAAATCAAACAGGAGTCTCTCTTACCTGTCCAAGTATCTGTGAAAAGGAAGTCCTAATTGTCACCTAGTTTAAAACAATCATTAAAAAAGGTTACTTTTCCTAAAACTGCTCTAGTTCACATTTTATTAAATCAAGCATTTTATTAAATTAGTCATTAACTTTTTTATACTAGTAAATCTAGACTCTCCTGATCTCCAAATAATCCTCTGAACCATCAACATTTATTTTGTATCAAGTTTAATTTTACTATTCAGTATATTTTCCCATATTCTAATTCTTTGACAATTGAAAGAATGCTATGGTACATACAGTAACCCTTTACTAACTAAAATATTTAATTAACTGGAGTATCTTATTAGCAGATCACACAAGCTAAAGGAATTTATTAAATGATTGAGTCCAGAAGCTATACATGTTTGCTGAAAAATTAAGAACAAATTAATCAACCTATTATACAATCAGTACTTTACAGTCTCAAACCTATCATTGTATTGCACTAAAGAGAGTTAAACTAAATCACTTCTGAGTGAATTTTATAAAAATGGGTTTTAAATGATATAAGACCAGGGACAAATGGCACATTTAGTAAAATCTAAGTCAAAATGATATTTTAAACAGATATTCGTCATTAATTATCTGTAGAATAAATACACTTATTTTGATATTAGGAAGTCTGAGAAAAGGAAATAGGTCTCTCACAGGGAGGTTATAAAACGATTATATTTTATCATGAGAGACTTTTTGAAAATATGAAGTGTTTGTAAAAACATGAACATTTTGAGAGCATGCAGTATTTGGAGCAAAATTATTAACATAATTCTTAATATCTCTGTAAAATATAGAGGCATTAGTTAAAAACCATTAAAGCCCTATAAAATCCTTCAGTGTTAGAAATACAAAGCAAGATATGAAAGCATTAAAAAATTCCATGAACTCTAAAATAACTCATAATATTGGTCCAACTAAAACTTGGTTGTAGGAAAAAATTCTACTCATTTGACCTATCAATTCTAGTTTACCCTAAGAAAGGTAGTTCTAATAAAGAATCCAAATATTTGTTTGGTTTAAAGCAGTTGAGTAGAAACAAGGTATTTTACATAAATGTGTACTTTAACCACTTTAATCTGAAATCCTTAGAAGCTGGCATTTTTAATATAGCAAGGGACTCCTTTAGTTCATGAATCGTTCAATTAATAAAATGTTACTCTCAAGTTCTAGCTCCCTCCTCTTTGCACAAAGAGATCTATGTGATATTAACACAAACACAATAGGCACTCAATTGCACATATTAATGACTAACAGAGCCTAATATAATTATTGAAAAGGAAAGAAGATCCTTAAGCTTATCCAGTAGAGTTAGAAACCACCATACATCATGTTGATTAAGGAATTTAAGCCACATAAGCTCATTTCATGATGTCCTTCAATTTATAAAGGTTTCTGGACTTTTGGCTTCCAAACTGAAAAGGTTAAACTACAGTCTCAATTTTTACTTTACTTTCTATTAATTATCAAGATGTATACTTTCAGTGGTCCAGCTAAGAAAATACTAAGGTAAAATGGAAAATACTTAAAGTAATATAAATATCTATTTCTTTTTTACAAATGTCTATTTCTATCTAATATTTATTGCCTTCCACATCACCATATAGCTGAAGCTAAGACATAAATATATTTCCAGTTTATTCTATAACTAAATATTAAAAATTAAGCAAACACACAGCTTACCTCATACTGACAATCTGATGATGTGTACATTTTTAATAAGGCTACATAGCTGTTGTTATCTGGTTGAGCAGCATGAAGTTTCAGAGAAATTTCCGTTGAAGATGGAACCCTGAAAGGCAACTTAAATATCAGTTCTCAAATACTAACTGCTATTAAATAACAATGGCTAAGTCAATCCTTGGCACAACATAACACCATGATGTAAGGGAAGCCAACAAGGGTCAGACACACCACTATGGATGGACACTTCTGGTCATGTCACAGTTGTCCGGATGCTCCCTCTGGGACACAGGAGTTGGCGGGAGAGGGTGGGGAAGGGTTTGTGTTTTAAGCAATGAAGGTTTGATTCTGTATCATTTAGATAAGAATATTACATATTATATTATGGGTACAATGCTACAGAAAGGATACCTACATTTTAGTAAGAGGAACTTTAGTAATTTCACTACGATTAAATAAACTAAGTAGAATGTGTATTATTCAAAAGTACAAAAGTTTAAGGTAAATTTTTTCATATACTTACTGTGCAATGGTTAGTGAATCTTCGTAAGACCATGGAATATGAAGTTTATAGATACTAGTTATTTCTTCTGTGAAAACAGAAAGAAAATATGTATTACTAGCCTTATGTCACACTAAATATTATATAAGCTACTATAACATCTAATTATACAATTACCCATTTCATAAAAAATCAGGAAAGTTGTATCACATAATTATGGAAAATTGAGTAATAATGTTTAATAAAACTTACAAAAGATATTATTAGAGCACATGGGAAGTACTAGGAAACTGCAAAAACATTAAACAGCTAAATCAGAATTACTACTATAATGAGACAGTAAGATATAATATTTTTAAAATATGGATATTTAAACTAAAATAGATAAAGATGCTTACTATTAACAAAGGGTCTATGTTAAATCTGTGGAAATATAATAGCTTTTGTATTAACATATTAAATTTTATTTCACATAAAATATAGAGAAGCATAAATATTATAGAAATATCAAGTGAAGACTTACTGACTCATCAAGTGACAATACCATTATATTTTTTCAGAAAATACACTTACCTTTGACTCTTGAGCACTTGCTTACCACGTTGATTTTAAAAGCTTGGTATATCTAATAGAATTTGACCAGAAAAACAAAAACAAAAAGTTTATTTGTTTGTTTAACTAAACAGTAAAACAAAATTAAATCCTTGTTATAGTCAGGATAATTACCTGTCCAAAGTTGAGCAGCTCTATATTATAGTACAGGCCGCTTGTATTTAATATCACTTTCCTTGAAGTTAATCCTGTTAAATTAAAAGTACTGCATTGCTTAGAATACCAAAGAATTTAAAAAGTACCAATTGCTTAAACAATGTTAAAAAAAATGCCAACAGATTTTTAATATTAAAAAAGTTTATAGGTTCTGACTTCTGACATGAAAGCACGAACTCCTACAATCCCAATCTTCCTTTAATAAACTCTGGACAAAACATTTATAATGCCTTTTAATCACATGTATTTTTTTAAGTCCTCATCCAAGGATATGTTTATTGATTTTAGAGAGAGAGGGAGGGAGAGAGAGAGAAACATCAATCCATTGTTTCCTTTTGCGATCCAGCTGGGGATTGAACCCACAGCCTAGGTATGTGTCCTGGCTGGGGATCAAACCTGCAACCTTTTGGTGCACTGGGATAACATTCCAGCCAATTAAGCACCTGGCCAGGGCCACATGTATGTGTTTTAAAAAGTCAAGTACATATTTCCAATTTCAAAAAGGTATGCTTTCTTGGTAGATCTCTTAATTTATAAGCTTGCTATTTTTAGGGAGCTAGGTGATACAGAGTTTGTCATTTTTGTATTGTTCTCAGAATTTTTCTACCAAAAAAAAAGGTAGGGAAGGGATAAAAATCATAAAGGAAATTTCCTCTGCCAAGTAATATAAATTCTTTTCACAAGTACATACAAGGGCAAAAGAGCCAACCAAAAAAAGAGATTCCAATATCCAAAAGCTGGAAAAACTTAAGGAAAAAAAGAGAGAATAGTACTGAATTATAACCCAATGAATAAAAGAAATATGGAGAAGTCCGTTACTGACATAAATTTTTTAAAAAATTACATAAATCAATCAATCAATCAGTCAATCAATCAGGGAGAAGAGACAATTTTTCCTTAGGAAGAATTCCAGTAAATATAAACTATTAGTAATAATTGCTTCAGACTAAATGACTCAATGGATGTTAAGATTATAGAGTTACGCTGAATAAAAACAGGGTATTTACTTTCAAAGTATCTTCCCCAAGATATTTATTAATTACAGTAACTTTACAGTGGAAAAACCTGGCAGACACCACCTTAACCAAGTGACCAAGGTTAACATTACCAGGAATTAGATACAGTGAGTGATAGCATGTGTCCTCTGATACGATACATTGAGAAGTACCTATCACATCTGTGATATTCTTGCCAAAAATGCATAACCTTGACTAGTAAGCAAGCATTAGACAAATTAAAACTGAGGAATATTCCACAAAATAACTAACCAGTACTCTTCAAAAGTATTATGAAAGACGAGGAAAGGCTGAGGAACTGTGGAAGATTAGAGGAGACTAAAGAGACATGACAACTAAAAGCAATATGAGAACTGAAAAAGAACACAGGTAGAAAAACCAATAAAAGCCAAATAAAGCCTGTAGTTAACAGAATTACACCAAGGCTAATTTCTTAGTTTTGACAACTGGATTATTTAAGTGGCTAACATTATAGAAAGATGAGTGATGGAGATACAAGAACTCTGTATTCTTTCTGTAAGTCTAAAATTGTTTCATAATAAAAATTTTTAAAAAAATGTAGATATGTATACTTTACCCCAATACAAAAAATGGAAAAAATCTATTTAAAGAAATCTTGAAATCTTCATAGGGCAGATAGAAATTTAAACCTTATAATAAGCCTTTTATAAGAGCCAATATTTAATATAAATTTACATAAGACACACAGACACACAGCTACCTGAAAACATATGTGATCATAAAGAAATTCTTTTAAAGCTCACTTCTCAGAACATGACTGTTGGTCCAGCATTAAATAAAAATCAAACTACTGAACCACATCATATGGTTGCCCTAAGAACTACATTTGAAATACATACTAATACTCTTGCTACATGGTTCTGCTTTATTGTTAACCAATCTTACAAAATAAATTAGCACTGTTAAAAATAAAGCAATTCTTAAGATTCCCAAAATCAAAATACTTACCAAAGGAAAAAAGATGAGTTACAGGAAGCTGTACGGATCTTGCCTCTCTTTTAAAGAATTCACAATCTACAACAAACTGAAATATAAAACATTAATTAGGAAAAAATGGAAATTTTTAGGAAAATATCTAGATGTTTGAATGGAATATAAAAGTCTTCAACTCTCAGATGATGCTATGTGTCACACTCTCACTCTGGCTATACTTAAAAGGCAAGAATTCCTCAAGTAGAGATATTAAATTAAGAACACCTGATAAATAGTTTAATTATTAATGGGTCATTGCTGTAACAACAGATCTATACAAAGTTTTCTTTTAATTAATTTTGGGTGTTTATAAAAGAGGGACACTAAAGAATAAAGTTGAGCATCAAGAGCCAACGTTAACTCAAGATTAATAACAAATTTAGATAATATATGTATATATTTTCACAGTCAAAACAAAAATGTGATTGTTACTTTTTTAAATCCCATATTTATTAAGTATCTACAATCTAATTAGACTTCAAAAGGATTTTGGAGACATAATGCCATTCATCTACAGATGGCTAATGTTATTTGTATAAAATTACTTCAGGCTAAACAGGGATGATAAATGAAAAAAAGGTTTACTATGTATAAAGCAAGAAAAAGAAATGCTATCTCAAAAAAAAGTAAACCTAAAATGTGACATCTGCATCATTACAATTTTTTTGTAATGACATTTCTTTTACATTAAGGAACTCTGCTCTCACTGTCTACAACGAGAATGGTTCCATTAATACTTTGATCTATTGGAACTAGACAAACAACTAACCTGATGCCCAACTGTAGATAGTAAATAGTTTGCTGTCTACAGAAAGCAGAAAGCTTGTGGGGTCTATCCTAGGCTTTTTCTAATAACTACACCTTGGGTTGTGTTTGAAGCAGTGTTATTATGTTTGCCTCTTGAGTGAATTTTTGACTATTTTGAAAGTGAAAAACAAATGAAGGAAAATGCTATAGTATACACATAAGGGAAGTAAAAAACAAAACAAAACACGTTAAGGGATTTTGCTTTTATTTTTCCCTCTTTACTTTCAAGGCAAAGTATACAGATATCTTCATTATATAAAACAGCTATTCAAAGAGTAGAGAAATGATTTATTGAACAGGATTATTCATTCCATTTTTACAAAATATTTTTGAGTGAGCCATTGCCTGAGATACGGAAAAAGTTTTAAATTACTCTTTGTACAGGTACCTAAAATAATGTAATTTTTAAATTAAATTTATTGGGGTGACATTAGTTAATAAGATTATATAGGTTTCAAGTATACACTTCAATGATAAATCATCTGTATATTGCATCGTGTATTGTGCGCCCGTCATCCAAAGTCAATCTCCTTCCATCACCACATATTTGACTCCCTTTACCTTTTAATACCTCTCATTGCCCTGCCCTCTGGGAATCACCATACTGTTGTCTGTGTCTGACTTTTTATTTGTTTTCTTGTTTATTTGTTGCTTTCAGTTTTATATGCCACACCATGCTAAGTGAAATAAGTCAGAGAGAAAAAATTAAAATAATACAATGTTATCTCTTTAAAAATTTGGCCATGCTTTTTATAGAATAAACCCTTACCCAAGAAAGAAAGAAATCAAGGGTTTCTTTCTGAAACATCCAAGGTAAATAAAGTTCTAATGGATTTAGTTATTTTGTTGTCTGTCATAAAAAAATGCAGATTAATTCCACATCTGTATTTTGAAAAATATATTTTCAGATGACTCAAAAAATTTTAAACTGCCTATTGAAAAACATGTCTCATGATGATAGGCTGTAGTGGAAATTAGGACAGGCCTAAGTGAGCACCCTGCGGAGATGGTGCGTGCCACAGCAGCATCAGCAGCGTTACTTTCCAAAGAGCATTAAGACACAGTAGTACACATCTGTTAGGCTGCTAAGACTTCCATTTGTCAAAAGCTCATTAACTTCTTGGCCTTTCCAAGTTTGGGAAAGATGTTAAATTCATTCAAAACCAATTTACCTGACAGAAAAACCCTTAAAGAGCGCTTTTAGTATTGAAGATGTTGAATTACCTCTCACTTGAGCTAAGCAAAACAAAACAATGAATCTATTACAAGCTCCTTGTGAAACTCAGTCTTCCAGATGACTCCCAACTACATATCCTTTTCCCTCTCCCCTTTTCCTTTAAATTTTCCTAATAACTTTGGCCAAAAATTTCATCAACATTCTCATTCAAGAAACATTATTTGAATATTTATGTGGAATTACCTAAATGCTGAAGATGCGAAGTAGAATAAAATATATCTTGTTCTTACTCTGAAAGAATTCAGAGTATGGTAATGGCAATAGAAACATAAATAAATTATTAACTTGGTGTAATAAATTATAATTTGGTGTAATAACTTCCTCAAAGAAGTTATAAACAAAGTAGCATGGGAGTAAGTAAGAGGTTACTGAAGGAGTCCAGAAAAGGAAAATAGGGACCATTTAGGCTGGACCTTGCAGGCTAATTTTTCGGGGTGAAATGTGGGCAGGGGAATAGAGGGTCTTTTACCTCCATCTTCTTCCTTCCCTACTACTTCTCTCAGAAACCGTCATCCTTTTATTTCTACTCCACTTCCCTAGGACAAGCTCTCATTAACCCTAATGAGGTGCCTATTCTGTTTGTAATTCATCCAAACCTTAAATAGATTCATCTTCCAAAATAGCTCTGATCCCATTACTACTATGGTGAAAAAACTTTCAGTCCCCTACAAACTCCTGAATCCTGTAAAGTCCTGAGTGTTCCAGTTGAGGGCCTCCACAATGTGGCCATGAACTACTTTTCAGACTTTTCTTCCATTACTATTCTACTCTGGTGGCCATCCTTTTATAATTACTATTTACTTATTCTCTGTTTTCTAAACATAACCCTGCTTGCACAGTTCTATGCTTGGTTCCCACTGTTTCTTTGTCTCTACAGTGTTGCTCATTTTAACTTTCTGCAATGTTATTATTTATCATGTTGAATATTGCCAGTACAATCAAGGAACTAAATTTGTAATTTTATTTTATTTTAATTAACTTAAAATTAAAAAGCTCCACGTGCTAGTGATTTCCATATTGGATAGCACAGGTCTAGAATGTTCATTCTACCTATAAAAATCTTAACTATTAAAAATCATCTCATAATAATACCTTTATTTCATCAGAGATATCGCCGCCCCCTTTTACACTTTTTATTTGCAATGTTCTGATTTGTATCATGTTTTGAGTATCTCTTTTATGCTCACTCTTCCTCCTGTTTCCAAATATATTTCTCTTCCCCTACCTAATACTATGTAGCTTTTTGAGAGTAGGGTTTGTCTCTCCCTCATTTGTGTGCCTCCTATATAATTCCTAGCATGGACTCTTGCATATAAAAGGGTCTCAATAATTAACAGATTTTGAAAGATCGATGTTCCCATTTGTAATAAGGAGACTTGGGTTTATTTTGCTTAGTTCAAATTAGAGTAGATGATCCTACCAGTTTTAGATGGATCACCAAACTGGCCATTGTTTGAGATAAGCCCTATGCTGAAGAAATCATCTCAGAATAACAAATATTTAGCATGAGTATCTGGGAAACATTCTGATAACAACCTTAATCCATTTTTACCTTACTTCCATGAATAGATGGTACAAAAACAACAAGATGAGACAAAGATGGATAGTCTTGAAGTCTTAACGTCAGGGACTAAAAAAAGATGAAAGTAAAACGCTGATTTTATTTTTTAGGTTATATAGAGCTTAAAACACATTAAAAAAATAAATTACAGACACTATTTCTTATTTAATAAGTTATTAAAAAAACAGATTTCGAACTTTATGTTCAACAAAGGTCAACAATCCTGCTGAAAGTCAAATTCCTAATAATTATGTTAATATGGACTACCAGGTCATTCCTATATCCCTTTAACTGTATCCCTTCATGTAAAACAAGTCATATTTAACACTGAATTTAAGTATTTTACATAATTTTAGATTTGGTCTTTCTTTTTATAATTTGTCTATTTCAAATGTTACAGTAATGTTTCTGTATTTATTTTGGTAGCATATGACAGAGGTTCAGCAGTTCATGAGTGAATGGATGCTAAATATGATGGAAGAATTGGAACTTAATCTCAAATAATTCTAAACTAGCCCAAGTAGTAAAGAGCTGCTGGCTAATGATATATATGAACATCATCTCTTGACCTTATTCAGTAAACAGCATGAAGACTCAATAGAGCTAATACTGTACTTCACCAAATGAACATCTATTCTCTTCTCAAAATTAAGACCAGATCCTGTAGTCTATATTGTGAGGAATAAATATATAGAAGACTGGTCTATTTAATGAAAAGCTGAGTCACCAAATGCAGTTTTTATTTTCATTTTATTATTTCATTTTTAATCCTCACCTGAGGACATGCTTGTTGGTTTTAGATAGGAAGAAAGGAAGGGAGAGAAGGAGGAAGGGGGACAAACGTCAGTGACAGAAACATCGATTGGTTGCCTCCCATACACACTGGACTGGGGATCAAACTTGCAACCTAGGTATGTGCCCTCACCAGGATCGGTCCTACAACCTTTCCGTGTATGGTATGATGCTCAACCAACTGAGTCACTTGGCCAGGGCACCAAATACATTTTTTTAAACCCACTTTTTTTCCTGGAAGTACATGTAGGAGTGGGAGTAGTTATATGCTGTAACAACTTGTGTGCATTAATAAATTTCTGGATATAACTTTCTTCATTGTTCTTCAGATGCACCTATGTGGACAAATCCAGACAGAGGTTCTGAAACTAAAGAACTCTCCGCCTGTGAGTGGCCATCTAACTACCTAATCAGATTCACTTGTTAAACTCTGGGCTTCACATCAACTTAGCCAAGTTTCTGCAACAGCCACTTGAGGTCTGTCCACAGAAGGTCCAGCCTTTGCTAATAAAACAAGAATAGTTTGCGTGACATCGATGTAACCTGGTAGCTAAGGAGAGTGGACTGGAATGCACGTGGGAACAATGATGACTTTATTGTACTGGTCACAGTGGGGATGGCAGATGCTGTTGAGTGAGCATGTGTACTCTGTGGCCATCACATTCAAAATGACTGAGTGAGTAGAGTAACAATGCTGCAGCAAATTTTGCATTAAGCTTGAACAGTTCCTCCCTGGAAACTAACTGGATGATTTAGAAGGTAGTAGCTATGGGCAATTGGTGATTGGCAGCTTCATCATGACAACACACCCACTCATACATCATGTCTTGTGCAGAGTTTTTTGATGAAACATCAAATCACCCAGGTGACTCAGCCCCCATTACAGCTCAGATTTGGCGCTCTGTGACTTCTGGCTTTTCCCAAAACTAAGATCATCTTTGAAAGGGAGATTTCAGACTGTCAACGAGATTCAGAAAAATAGGATGGGGTGGCTGATGGCTATTAGGAGAAACAGGTGAGGTCCCAAGATGCCTACTTTGAAGGGGACAGGAGTGTCATTGTGTTATATACACAATATTTCTTGTATCTTATATCTTCTTCAGTAAATGCCTCTATTTTTCATATTACATGGCTGGATACCTTCTGGACAGACCTCATATATCCTAATATAAATGAAAGGGCCTTAAATATACCCTCAAAATGAATTTTAAAAATTTACCTACCTCTTGGTATGATGCTATAACATATAGATTTCATTTTATTTAGAGCATTGTCAACAATAATTTTTACCTCTGACAGTTTAAAAAATGTTTTTCTTCATTAAATTCATTTCTAGGGAAAATATTTCTAAAATGAAGATTAACAAATCTCAAGTTTATTTAATACCTACATGAATTAATAAAAGATCATATTCTAAAATGCCTACAGGCTCAAGTATTTTTTCACCTAAATATTAAAATTCTAAAGCCATCATTTACCTTAATTGTTGGCAGCAGTTCCGTTTTCCATGACAAATCAACCCCTTGCCGGCTATGAAATAAGTATGAAAACATAATTAAAGGACAAATATATTAAAATATTATAAATTATAAATAGGCCTCAGGGGAAAAAGAAACCATCTACAGAGCTATCAGAGAGAGTTCTAATGAAATGAAGTCTAGTAAGTCTAATCCAATATTTTCTAGCCACACTTTTAGGAACAAAAACATTGTTTTTCCTAGCAACCAACTATTTCAGTGTTTATGTAAATTACTGGTATGTTAATTTCTTTTATTTTTCACTTTAAAATCAAAACTTTAATTTAGTATAGCACCAAAATGAGCTTAAAAATGTAAGAAGCAATTCTGATAGTGTAGTATGTGAGTATGGTTATGTTGAGAAAAATGAATACTAGAAGGCCTTAGATTCAAAAGACTTACCACATAGAAGTGCTGTTTATGCAGCCAAAAATCCAACTATTTGTGTCCTGTTGGTTAATAACACAAAGTACAATAAATAATGTGGAAAATAATTACACAAAATAGTCATCTTCAATATTTTACTGTTATATGATATGGTCAATAGGTACAATGGAAACATAAATAGCTACTTATTATTTAGAAACATATCCAAGATGGTCTAAAAATCAAATAGCTCAAGGATAGGCAAAGAAGTCCAATGTCAACAAAACAGGTAAGCAAGTAACGTAGAGTAGCAAGATGAGAAAGAGTAACTTGCTGGCTATCTCTCCATAATGCATTACCTAAGCATTTCTAATTTTTGAACCAACACTTTGGGAGTTTGGTAATGTTTATAGTTTAATTAGATAGTTACATAGCAAGTAACCTACATTTTAACAAAAACAGAAAAGTCAACAATCAGAGGTAGACTTTTACACAAACAAAAAATCCAGAGCCAAGTAATTAAAAATAACAATTAATTTAAGTATAGCCTTTTAGTTATTATTTGAATACCAGGCATATAATTCTACACAGCTGAGAATGAGTCTGGATTGAAACACAGTCCAAGACTGAAGCTAGTTACTACTTAATCAATGTAGCATGGAACTATTGCAAAGATAGTTGTGATATCTGAACAATATTATGTATTTGGCTTTGGTCATTAAAGAGAGGCATGACCTCAGATCACTCCAACTTTTAAGAAGGAGATAAGAGCAGTGCTCCAAAATCTGAACTCCTAATAGGGCATAAGAGGAGGAGAAACACTGGCCAGAGAGCCACATAAATTCTTCCTTAGTATTCATATGGGACAGTGAAAAAAATAGATCCTTTAATTAAGCTAATATTTATAATTTACAAAGTCCACTCCGGGGCCAAGGAATTATGCCCTTAAGGAAAAGGACAAATCAGGCAGACATGGTCTTTGCTATCATGAAACTTAAATAAAATTTTAAGACATTTTTCAGAAATACAGAAAGGGAAGCTGAAAGGAAACAAACAAGAAACCATACGGTATTTCTCTGCTTCTCCATTGTTGGCAAAATACCTGTGTGACTTCTGTACCACCTATGCTTCTCAGGACAACAACAGGACATCACAGCAAGGCAACAGAACAGATCTGCATAGCCTAAACAAAGAAAATCTAGCAGCCTCTCAAGATCCAACCCAGTTTCATAATAAGCTTTTGTAGCTAACAAGGGAGCCTATCCTCAAAGATAGTCCTTATTATGAAAATTGCCAATACTCCACATTACTTACTTCAGTATATAGGGAATTCTGACTCATTCGTCAATGAATTGAATAAAGTGTTATTCAAGCCCATCTTAAAACACCATTTTGATATAACCTAGGTGTCAAAAGAACAATTTCAGGTCATCTAGTAAACATCCCTAACTAATTATAAAAGTTGTATTAAAAATCTTAGAAAAATTCACCCAAAAAATTTCTGACTAACTCCAGGAAGTATAAAGAAAGGAAAATGTTATTATATGATAAACTGTATAGTTCTTTAAAAAAAAAAAATCTGTATACAGCCCTCAATGGTTGCTAAAACAATTAGGTGAAAGACTCATTAGGCACTTCATGATGGATAGATCATACTGATACCACCTAAGTCCACTGGTAAGACTTTATGTCACTAAAAAGTGGGACAACCAGATGGTATATACCTCCTGATGAGGTAAGTACACAGTTCTACTTATAAAACATTTTAACCATACAAAATTAATCCGAATCTAATCAAGATTCTAGATCTACCAGTTTACAGAAAACATAAGGGACACAAATACATGTTAAAAGATACTACAAGAATACAATCATTTAAACTCACAATGTAGGAAATTTGTAGAGAACATAACCTTTCTTGAATATACAGAAAGAAAAAGGGGCTGTCATACAAGAGATTTAAGATTTACAAATCAAATGCAATGTTCATACGTTACATTCTGATTCAAATAAACTAACTTAAAACATAATTGCACAGAGGAAAACTGAGCATGAACTGGATACCATGTGATATTAAGAAATAAAAATTTATGGATGAAATAATGGTGTGATGGTATATATAAAATTCTTATCTATTAGAAAAAATATATTGAAGTATTTATGGGTAAAAGAATAAAATGGCTGAACTTTACTTAAAAATTTTTTTTTCAGGCAAAAAAAGAGGAAAGGATAAATGAAGCTAGAATGGCAATGCATTAACTGTCAAAGCTGTATGTGATGGTTACACAAGAATTCGTTATCATCCTCTTTCCTTTTCTGTTAGAAAATTTCTGTAATAAAAATGGAAAAGATTTTTAAAAATTCACCATGTGACCTTATGCTGATTAATAATTATGCTGAAAATTCACCATGGACCTTAATTACAGAAAAGGAATCCTCCAATAAACCGAATAGATAATTCACACTTTGGCAAAGATTTTTCTCAATACAGATATTCTGATTTACAATTCAGTATTAAATATGGGTATTTTAAGCTATCACTCTTGGGGCCAGATTCTCTTGGGATAAACCGCCCATACGGATGTCAGGCTGAGAGATGCTAGTCTCTAATAAAGAACCGTGGAAATTATCCCCGAAAGTATAGTCTTAAGATGCTAGTTTCTGTAAGAGATGCAAGAGTCTGATAATCCCACTACAATTAGTATTCATTCATTAGCACCTAGTCCACAATGCCTGCCAACCATGTTTTCTAAAGGCTTTGTTATAAGCAAACTCCAGCATCTACCAACTAAGTAATGTATTAGATCCTGGTATATTATCAGCTACAGGAACATTTTGATGAATACTTTTCAATCAAAACTCTGTTCCAGACAAATATTTTTCAACTAATTAGAGTAAGTAATAGTGCATGGTTAAATATGAGATTTACTAGATATTAGTTGAGTTTGAAAAATGAGCAGTTGGCCTTTTAAACTTACATAAAAGGTACCAATCATCTTACCAGCATGGTGCTCTGACAATAGGCATGAGTATGGATTTTTCTATGATTTGCAAGAGGAAATGTAAAATATATTTTATCGGATTCCTAAAAAGAGAGGAAAAACACAATAAAACTATCATGAGAACGGAAAATTTCATCATTCAAAAATCCAGCTAAGGCAATCAGCAATTATTCTAATTGTATTATTCCTGATGTGGTTAAGAACCAGTAATTCTAAGAGTGGGAAGAAGAGACAGACAGAAGATAGCTCAAACACAAACCCTGTAGTCCTGAATCTGTCTTAAAAGTATCTGTATCAATGTATGTGTTTCATTTTGTTTTGGTTTTTGGCCTTATGATCAAGATACAATAAAATACCTTTCTTAGCTCTGCCCACAGAAAAGGCCTAGAAATGCTAACCCACTGGCCATAAACATCTCTAGTGTCCAGATTATGGATTTTAGGTGCCACTTCCCAAATGTTGGAAGACTTTCTTAGAGAAAAAAGCTGGTTTAAGACCTGGGGCAGGAGACATTCAAAATGAGCTGAAGTATCTTCTCATACTAGCCAGTGAAAAAACTATCAAAGACATGGTGCCTGGCCGGGTAGTTCAGCGGATTAAAGCATCATCCTGATATGCCAAGGTTGCCAGTTCAATTCCCGGGCAGGGCACATACAAGAGAGTCAACCAATGAATACATAAGTGAGTGGAACAACAAATCAATGTTTCTCTCTCTCCCTCCCCTTCCTCTCTCTCTCTCTAAAAAGAAATCAATTAAAAAAAAACCTATCAAAGACAAATCAAAAGACTCCAAGGAGGGAGGGGTGGGCGGGGAAAAGGAAGGGAAGGGTCAAGTCAAGGAAGATATAGCAAGGACTCATGGACAAAGCCCAAGTGGGGAAGGATTAAGGGAGGGGGGTGGGGCGGGGCAGGGGGAAGTGGTGGGGGGAAAGGTGGAGACAAATGTATTTGAAAAAAATAAAAAAATAATTAAAAAAAGACTCCAGATCCTAACTTGAAATGGCTTACACTGGTCAAAAATAGGACAATTTTAATATCAATTTTACTATCAAAGATACAACAATTTTAGTATTTTAGTTTAGATAGAAAGACAAATATGCTTAAATACATGAGTTCACAATAATATTGGGGGGGAATCTCAAAATCTCTTACAGTCACTAATGGAGGATGTTTGTGAACCAGCTCTCTCTTTTGAAAACCAGTAAAGATCAGATCCAAAGGTCCAAGTAATTATCTTTTTTTCCTTTATGATTTGTTCCACTTCTTTTAAAAATACTCATATAAGAATATGTTTCATTGATTTTAGAGAGAGAGGAAGGGAGAGGGAAACAGCAACGTGAAAGCAAAACATCTATCAGTGGGCTGCCTCTGGGGATTGTGCCCTCACCGGGGATTGAATTTGCAACCCTTTGGTGTATGGGATGACCCTTGAATGAACTGAATCACCCAGCCAGGGTTGATTTGTTCCACCTTTGATAAATTCACTAGATGAGGTTTTCTACATAGTGTTCCAGTTTATAAATGAAGAAGAAATAATCAGATTAGAGTATCATCATTTTTGCATCCCCCTCAATGAATGACACCAGATGTTATTCCTCAACAGCTGCTAACATCACAAAAAAAGAAAGTCTAACAAAAACATGAATCTGATCAAGCATCTCAATCTAACACCTAAGTCACAGGAACAGAGTAGGCAGAGGAATATGCTGAATGATACTATAGCAATGCAATCAGAAAGTCAAGACTGTGACACTATATAGGACAAAAGACTTGTTTTTTTCCAATAAATAAACTGCAAGGAGCAAAAATGGTGGTTAAGTAAGCACGAGAGATTAAAAGAAAAATAAGGGACATACCAACAAATACTATGTGGACTTTGTATCCTGATTCAAACAAATTGAAAAACCAAAGAAACAAAAAAAAAAATTTGACAGTTATAAAACTGGAAAACTGAACACCAACTAGACATTTATTAGTATGGAATTATTATTAAATTCTTTTAATGTATGAAAATTATATGTAGTTACCTTTTAAAAAGTATCTTTAACATTTAAAGATAAACACTAAATTTTTTTATAGTAAAAATATACACTGGTGGTATACTTACATTATAAGCCATATAGGTCCACTTTGATACTTTTACTGGAACCCACAGAGATGTCACTAAGGTAAAGGAAATTAATTTGTTTGGCTTGTTATTTTTTATATTAAACACTTTCTTTTATTAAGTGCCAGTGAAATACTTCTCAATCATAACAGGATTTGAAAAAGAAGCAGTTTCCTAAACACTGGCTATTTTAAAAGAGAAAATCTCTATGTGCTCTTCACCAACTAGTATTCACATCAAATAAAGTATTTTAAATCTAACTGGTATTTTTAACTCCAAGAAAGTATCAATAGAAGAAAGTCAATATTTCATTTTCCTAACAAGTAATTGAGTGTGACAGGTATTATATTTAAAAGCAAAATTTACCAGCAAAAGATATGCTTGTTAATCCAAAAGATCGAAGAATGATACTGAGAAACTAAGTTAAGAATAATATAGCACTTATTTTATGTGACTGTCAGGAGACTAGAGACATTAAACTTTACCTTTAAAATTTTTCTACTTGTCATTATTTTCAGGACAAAATTTTTTACTAGCAACATCTTACAAATTGTTTTTCTACCTTTTCCCTTTCTTAACCAAGAACCTCATAAGAAACCACCATAGAGAAATTAATAAAATACAGGATTATAGTACCTGAAGCATCACAGTTTCAAAGATTTTGTCTGCTAATAAACAAATTTACCTAAAAATAATAATCAAAACTCTACTTAAATTAAAACATGTTATTACCACTAACCTGTTAGGTCAGAAATTAATGCTGGATTTTCCTCAAAGTGTTTTGCTGGGTGTCTTATAAAGTGGTGATTCAAAACTGACAATTTCTTCTTGGGATTTTGAGTTATCTAGAAAGAACATTGATACATTCTGTAACCTTTCATAACCATTGTGACAATTCAATGAAAGTTTCCTTCAAGAAATAATGCTAAGAGCCAAGAGCTACTTACTATGGGCCAGGCACTGGTTTAAGTGCTTCACATCTTATTAACTGTGTATTAAATATGAAGGAACTGAAGCACAGAGAAATTAAGGAACTTGGACAAGGTTATTCTCCTATTACGAATTTGGGCCCGGATTCAAACATAGGCCACCCAGCTCCAGAACCCATGCTTTTAATCAGTCGTTACGCAATGGTACATCCCAAACAGAATAAAACATATAAACATACAGAGTCAGAAAAGAACTTAAGTGATCCTCTGTCTAGCAATCCCAACACACTGGTTTCCAAATTCAGACCAGTGCCAATCTTACAACAAAGAAATTAAATGGTCACTAAAGAATATAGAACTGTTCTTCCTCAGAAACTCCTTTTAACTGCTTTACTTACTTCTGCATCAAAACTTCCTTTCATGAAATAAAAATACAAGTATACAGTAAAATTTTTCTGTCGTCTGTTTCAAAATACCCCAGCACAATAAATGTTGGCAACTTTGGATTAGTCCCTCCCTTGAAAAAAAATGTACTAGGGTATAAAATTCATTTAGAATCTACCACTATTCAATTCTCTAGTTTAAGACTGAGGCCCTGGCAGGAAAGAGATTTCCTCATCAACATATTGAGATAAAGAAATGATAGTGAGGACCCAGGTCTTCTAAATCTCTTCAGTCCCTTAGATGTCACCCAGTATTTGTTTGAACATTTCTAACTCAGTACTTTTCAAAATATTACACTCCAATTTTAACAATTCTCACCAGAAGAATATTCTGCCCTATTTAAAGCAAGTATCTGACTCCTTGTTCCTTTGACATACAGGTTTGGGGACAGCCCTTCAAAAACTTAAAGATTGCTATGTGCCTCTTCTAAATAAAACATTTTTTCTACTTGTTAAACAACTTCAAAAACATCAACTGTAACTGTTTCATACCCTTCTCCACTGTCCCTGCCTTCCTTCCCTGGATAAACTGAAGTTTGTTAATGTCCCCCTCTTTTTTTTTTTTTAAGATTTTATTTATTTACTTTTAGAGAGTGGAAGAGAGGGAGAAAGAGAGGGAGAGAAACATCAATATGTGGTTCCATCTCACGTGCCCCCTGCTGGGGACCTGGCCTGCAACCCAGGCATGTGCCCTATGAGGGGAATTGAACCCGCAACCCTTTGTTTTGCAGGCCAGTGTTCAATCCACTGAGCCACAACGAGCTAGGGCCCCCTCCTTAAAATATAATATACAAAATAGAATATAGTTCTTTAGATATGTGTGTCTACAGTGGAGGAAAGTGTAATTTAACTTCATTGATGCAAACTCTATACTTCAATCTGTTCCATCTAATACAAAATTAGTTTTGATTTTTTTTTTTAAAGTGGCCACATCTGATTTTAAGCTATTAAAAACCGTAAGTCTTCCAGCCAAAATTTCAGTTAAGTCAGACTCTCCCATCCTTATTCATTCTCTAGAAAATCCATCTATAGTTTTCAGCTATAATGTTTATGCTGGTAACTATCAAAAATTACACTCTAATTCTGATTCCTTGGTACTACATGTTAGGGAATGATTATGATTTGAGTTACAGCTTCCCTTGTATATAGGCTTGCTTTTCATTCTAGGCTATATTCTTTTTGAGGAGGAATCATATCCTAACGTTTTATTGTCTTAACATTTAGTCCAGTCCATTATATATAGTGAGTTTGTGAAACAGAACTCAGTTTCATAATGTTTTAATTCTTGGCAATACTAGTTATTAAAAATTTCTCTTTTGTGCCTTAAAATGTGTCTGTGAAATACTTATCCATTCAGAATTATAGCTTGTTATGCACCAGCATTAGAGTTTTCTCATCTGAGATATAATGGAAAACAAGATTTGATTTATTAAAATTTATGTACAATTTTTAAAGACTATACTTGTCTGAGATATTACTGTCCTTCACTGGTTAAAATGAGGTTTTTCCTAAACCTACCAAATGTCATTAGAAATACAAACTGGTCTTGCAATTTTAATCGATTCTATTACTGTATCTAGTTGCTTTCTCTCTGACTAAAAATGTTTGCCATAGTTAAGACAAACAAGTTGAAAACTAAAAAATGTTTGCATTCCATAACTAATTCTCAGTGTTAACTCTAGGAAAGCTCCTTTACTTTAATAAATATACTATCTTAAATATGGTATTTTGTAGCTTCAAATGTGGTGAAACAGAACAATTTGGGTCTCTCTTTCACTGCATTCTTTGGCGGAGAGCTAAGTATCTATGATTCTAACAGCACTTATGCAGCTTTCTAAAGGGTTAAGAAGAAAAATATGGGCACTACCACACTCCCAAGAGAGAATGCTACAGGAGCAAGATTTAAGCGACAACAATAAACCCTGGCTCGTGTGGCTCAGTGGATTGAGCACTGGCCTACAAACTGAAAGGTTGCAGGTTTGATTCTCAGTTAGCACACATGCCTGGGTTATGGGCCAGGTCCCCAGTTGGGGTCGTGTGAGAGGCAACTACACATTGATGTTTCTTTCTCTCCCTCCCTTCCCCTCTCTCTGAAAATAAAATAATTCTTAAAAAAAAAGATAAAATGATAAGAAAAGCATTACCTAAACATCTATTGAGAAAGAGGCCATACATAATAGTCTCTCAAAGAATTAGTCTTCAGGAGGAAGAACCCAAAAATATATGGGCTGTAATGCTTTCCCATAATAAAAAATTATATAATTTTCAAGGAAATTTTTCTCTACATGGAGAAGCCAAAGCCACACATGAACATATGTCTTTGAGAACATGGGTCTATGGAATAGTGAGGTACTGGCAAGATGACGTGAAAAGCTGCTTGAGAGGAATAATGGCAATTATTTGAAATCACAGAAAAAAGAAATATAAGTTAATGGATAGGCTCTCTGTATTTTGCTGTAATCCTTGGTGACCACTACAACTTAACTGCTAGCAGACAAGAGATGAAAGAGTTATATGATATTCTATAAAAGGTACTATGATTTCCAGGTGTCCTGCTAATTGAACAACTTGTAAAATCATTAATTTGGAGAGTTTATATGTGAAATCTTATTACAGAAGAGGTTCAACTTCTAGAAGTATATAATTTAAGTTCTGGTGAGTTTCAGTTATTCAAGAAATACAGAAATTTTGATCCTATCAGAAAGGTAAAGATGCTTTCTAAAACAATTTACACAAAAATATCTAATACTATATAAATCATGAGATCTATGTTACTAAGAAAAAATGATAAAATAGCTTGTAATAAGTATTTTCCTTAATTAAATAAAGCTAAAAGAATATACGTATATAAAATTTTAAGGGGAAGAACTGGGGGGAGATTTAAGAAATCTTTTCACTTTTCTATTTTTGTTGCATTCTTTTTTAAAAAATTTTTATTGAATTTATTGGAGTGATGTTAGTTAATAGAACCAGATAGGTTTCAGGAACACAACTCTATTAATACTATTAATACATCACCTCATCACCTCTATATTGTATTGTTTGCCCACCACTTAAAAGTCAAGTCTCCTTTTGTCACCATTTATTCCCCTTTTACTCTCTTCTACTTCCCCTACTCTCTTTCCCTCCATTAAATAAAGATATTTCCATTTTGAAAGTAATTATAATCAACACAGGGTGCAGACTTCTAGTTACATCAAAGTAAAAAATGTATTAATTCCACCACTGCTGCAACAAAGCTCTTTTTTTTACTGAAATAATTTTTATTTTAAAATACATACTTGTTTAGTGTCAGCATCAATAAGATCAAAGAATGCTCGAATTGTAGTCAGTTGTAATTGTTTACACCTAAGGAATAAAATGTTACAAATGAAATTTTCTTTAATAATATGCTTTTGATACACACACACACAATTCTATTATTTAATCAAATATTTGAGTTTCCTTTAAAGCTGTAAACTTCAAAATTATTTAAGAAATCATCATTACTAAGCATATATCTTAAAGTTGAAACATAAAAATACAGCAAATGAAATCTTCCTGAATGTTTGCCAGTAGAACTGACAAGGTCCCTCTAATGTTCCCTAAATCTCATCTGCCATGGCTGTGGATGGACTCTATCCTATCCTTACAGGCCTGCACTGTGTGCTTCTTGCAGACATCACTGATTGCAGAGCCAGGGGAAGGTGAAAAAGAGAGCCTTTAAGCCAGAACACACAAAGATAAGATACTAGGGTCTACATATTTCTTGACCCATATTTAATCTATTTCTTTATTTATATTAAAGGTAAATCTACTTCCAGCTTGGTTTTCCACGTGCTACTCTAGAATAACCAAAGCAGTATCAATCCAGTCCCTGAATTTGGCGACCTGTGGAGAGCTCAGGAAGTCCTAAAACAAGTGCCTTTGATTCTGTCCAACTATGACAAACTAAACTTTTGATATTTGAAACCAGCTTCACTTGAGACTAATGTCTCTGGTTTTCAGATGATTTCATAGATTGTCAAGGGAACCTTGGTCACACTAAGACATGAATCAAGTTTAAAGTTCTAAACCCTTAAATCAATCTGTCTCCCAAATCCTTATTTATGCATGAATGAAGCTCTCAGAAAGTCAACAAACCAATCAATGCACTGACGAGAAAAGAGGACCACTGCAAACCATCAAAATTAGTTACATTAACATACCACACAATGGAGAGGTGGTCTGTTGAGACCCACGTTTTAGGCACTGCTGAACTCTAGAAGGGAAGAAACAGAAAAAAAAAATCAAACCTAAGAAAAGCACATTTGTTAGTCTCTGAAAGGCCTGAAATTCTTACAAGCTAACATTTAAAAATATGTAGCATTAGTTTCACTATTTCATGATGTATAGACATTTTTAAATGATGCATTCTTGTAAAAGGTGATCCAGAAATATTAAGATATTTCCTGCATAAAATAAATCTGTCATCACCACTTAGTCACACTCGTATTAATCTTTAAAAATTATTAAAGCATCCAGATTACTTCCTGAGTTTAATGTTTAACTTTTTATTACTCTAACAAAAGGCTGAGTTTATGATTCTTAATAAATCATAGTTTATGGGTAAATCATAACAGAGATTTTAGTAATTTTAGTTCGACCAGACTTCAAATTAATAAATACTAAGATATTTCTTCTTAATCAGGGTGTGCCTGATAAATACCTTAGCCTGCAGAGGTTTTCCAAAAGAAATATGCCTGATCAAAATTCCAAAACTATCCAATCTGACTCTTACAAGTGGTGTCCAGGCTTACTTGATTTGGAAAAAAAAAAAAAAAAAATCACTGTATGACTGGTATGTATCCTACTTATCAGAGACACAAGGGAAAGGACTCCTAAAAAATGTAAGTATTGCAGAAGGTCTCCTAACAATGACACAACACGCTTCAATTCCTCTGAAGTGGGAAGAATCTATAGCTTACTTGAACTTATAAACATTACATACCTTATGGTTCCTTAATTAGGAATTACTGCTGGCAGCTTAATTGAGAAGCTAAGACAATGATGGTTCACTGTGGTTCTAAAATTATATTAGATGCTCAGTAGAGTAAGAACTCACAGTAGACAGCATTTACCATTACCAAGAAATAAAATGGGTTTATTTTCATTGAGGCTAAGGAATGCGTCAGTGCTAGAAAAACGGAAAGGCAACACAAATAATAAAGGTAGTTGCTCATGATCTTTGGTGGAAACTTCTGAATGTCCACCAAAATCCATTCTTGCCTTCTTGCACACAGGACTAGACTACATCTTTTGGCCTCTCTTACTAAAAGCGCAACTAATTTTTCTCTAATAGTATGTGAACAGCAGTGATGTGTGCCGTTTCCAGGCCTGACTGCTCTTCTTCCCCCTTCCAGTGGATTGAAATAGTGATGATTACAGCAACCTCAAAAGTAAAACAGTCCAGAAGGTGGTGCCTACTGTCAGCCTAGATCCCTTAGGAGACTCCCAAAAACACCACCCATCAATTTAAATACACACCTTGGGCAATTATATAAGTAAAACGTAAACCTCAATTGCGTTTAAGTGCCATTACCTGCATGAGTATATGTAACAAGAGTTTAGCCTACCCTACCAAAACAACTGTGCTCTCTAACCTAAGCAATTTTTCTAGTCCCAATGGATGTAAATGCCATTTAACCATTCTTGAGATAATCATTTAAAAAACTGTTACTTCTTACTGATTGTTCTTTTAAAGTGAACATACTTTAAAACATGAAAGACCCTACACTATTTAGCTGCTAAAAAACTAAATAAAACTCAGATTATAAAGTAACCAGCTTTGAGAAAATTCTGTAAGAAGTAAAATATTTTTATCAGAGATACAGAAATACAAGCTGCCCTGAAAGCACTACATTAGCAAATGGATTAGAAAAGGGGGAAACACACACACTCACACACATACACACACACGGCTGAAAAAACCAAAGTTCTTTCAAAAATAAGCTGCAGGGTATAGTATCAATACACCATCGTGCTCTAGACCAAGTTTAGGAAATAAGTTATATCCAATTTATGTGACTAAATAAAACATCTGTGTTTACTACAGAGTTGATATTTAATATTTTGAGAACTTCCAGCAAATATCTGCCTAAAACATTTAACATCAAGTAATATTCATACCAATAATGAGGTTTGACAGATTTACCAATTTTGTTCCAAAGCTACTATAGCTCTATCACAACTCCCGTTATAAGAAAATGGTGGGTAACAGCAGAACAGCTTAATAATTCGTGTTCTGTGTATGGCAAGCATTCAATAAATACGTGCTTAGTGAGTGAAGAGCACCCTAAGGTGGGCCAACAGATGAGCTAAGCAAAGGGGAATCTATGAAGGGAACAGCTAGGAAACAAAGCACTAGCTTCTAAAAAGCAAAAGGAATTCTATGGAATTTTTAGAAATTAAATTGTTATATTTGAAGATGATGTGTTTATTAAGTTAAAAAAAAGTTAAGATCTTAACTGAAGACTTCACGTTAAAAATACAAGAAATATGTAAGTCCTAAAAGGAAACTTGAACTCACTTTACAGAGGCTACGTATCCCAGTTAAAGACCAAATACTTGATGTCCTAGCAGGGAAGAATAATTAGCAAATTAATTAATCAGGGTTCTGTTTTTACTATCAAAGCTAATTTTAAAATTTTAAAATTGGTACAACTTCAAGTTTAACAATCAAGAGTGTATGTTTTATATTCTACTACAATAGTACACAGCATACCACTCAGATACAAGAGGCCCTTGGACTTCAGTCCACACTTTTTTATACTTAACAATTCTAATCAATGGATAGGCACTTATTTTGAACAAGAAATAATTATTTCTCATAAGTAAGATTTATTTTCATGAAGTCTCTAGATCCTTTATACTGTCTAGGAACATAGGCATCTATGCCTCTGCCTCACCAACATATTCATTCATTCATTCATTCATTCATTCATATTGTCTCTATCTCTCTGTCTCTCAAACACACACGCACACACACACACGCACACACACACACAACAGCAGTACTACACCAACTTAACAGTCATTTCCAAGCAGTTACATATTATTTCTCCTTTCACACCCCACTGTGTTCATCATGTTACTATTTCAGTAGATTCGTTAAAAAAGATTACCACAACAGATAAGGCACTGGTATGATGGCTTAGTTTTGGCAGAAAAGTCAGTCCTGAACGAACTTGGTAATCCCGGAATCCTCCAGCTACAGAAAGCGTGGTTAAATTTATGTGTCTAGCATTTAGAATCCAATAGTTGTTTACAGTCATATAAAAATCTGGTAAAAAATAAGAAAGACATTAAAAGTTGGTTGTCACTCCGTGCACAAATAAGATATCCATAATATTAATATTAAATTGAATTTCTAAGTCATTTGAATAACCTATGAACAGTTATTCACATTTCTCTATTTTAAGATAATATTTTTACATATATTCTGCTTACCCCATTAAATCAGATTACAAATACTAAGAGTTAACTGAAAGCATCAACGATGAAGAAAGATACTCAAATTTTTTTAGCTTGACAAAGTGATATGCAAATAAGTCTCTATATTCCACAAGGAATATACTTGTTCAAGAGCCACAGCACAGCAAGAAAAAACCATAAAATTTTCCACATATAAGAGTTTACTATGCTAAATAGTTGTAGATCTTCCTAATGAGGCAGTATCCCTGCTTAATAGGCCTTTGCAGCTCTCTCCTGCAGTCAACCACCATCACATAAAGTACTACTCAGGTTCTTAAAGTAAAATTGATCAGGACAGTAACATTCATACTAGTCTTGGAACTATGAAGCTGTGGAAAACCTAAGGGTTAAAGTTCTATCTCTTCAGTGCGGTAAATAGTTCAAAGGGAAGAACTTGAAGACAATTTTTCCACTTTTTCTATGAACAGTGAGAAAATTTTAGTGTCAAGATTTGAGGTCATGGGAGGGAAGTTCTTATTTCCTCTTCTAATTATCAAAACAAGGCATTTTTATCCTGGTATGTGATCCCATTGAGGGCTTCAAATGTTTTAGAACAGCATACAGCTCCCGTGAAAGATCTCAGCAGCATTTACTTAGATTGTGACCACACAAACCTATTCCTAATATATGCAGGGCCTAGGATAAGAGTGCCAATGGGGTACACATGCCATATGCCTAAATATTTAAAAGTCAAAATTCCGGCTAACATGCTGTTAAATCAAATATACTTTCCAACCTGGAGGGCCAGGTTCAAATGAAGAATCCCAGGACACCTCAGAGCTGGACTCTGGATAAGCGCAGCACAGGCTGAGCAGATCTCTGGCCCACCACTGTGCTATCATCTTTCTCTTCCCATCCCAACTCCATCCTGCATCACAAGGGCCTCAGTGCACACCCGAGCTCTCCGTACCTCGTGCAGGGCCACTGCTTGGCCACAACGCAAGCTTAGGGTTATACTTACCTGCCCTCAGAACAGATTCAAGTAAGAGGCCCACATGAGCCCTGAAAGTGAGCTTGGGACATATGGACAAGGGAAGTCTAGAGACCTGGTCACCTGGACTACAGTCTGAAACTAAAGGCACAGACTGCAGTGGGGAGGCCTCCTTGGCCTGTCCACGCAGAACCCCGTGGGGAATGCAGCACCAGAGCAGGGCCCTCTAAAGCGCAGAGCTCCGTGCAGGCCTTCCCTTCCCCTAGTGAAGGGCAGTTATTTCCACCCATTACAAACAGGATCTACTTCTGGAGGTGTAGGAGTCTCCTAAAAATCTAAAATCTACCACCCTTGAACTTTTGTTTTTACATTCTAACTCTGGCTTGGTACAATAAAAAATAAATAAGGGATCTGTGGGAAAGAAGCTTGCTCATCATAGTAAGAACGCCTTGGCCCTAAGAAGCAGTTTCTGCCTGAGCCTTTTAGAGACAGATCATCGCTATCCGTCAAAATAATAAAACCCAATTCTCTTGAAAGCTTTCTTCAAATAAATTTTTAAATGTATTTTTTGAGTAATTCTAATTTAACCTACAAGGCTCATCAACATATAAAATGCAGTAAGAGAAAGAGTTCTTGATTATGTGGAGAAGTACTATGACTTGTCTATGCCTTTGATTTTTTCCTACACCTATACAGGTATTTATAATTATTAGAGTTAGATTTAAAGAACTTCAATAATAAAACTATAATTTTTTATTAAAAGACTTCTATAGGAAAAGTGTTAAATGTAATAAAAAAATCAAACTTCACTGCTAAGTACTACTGTATCGGATATTCCAGCAAATAAATTACTCCTTGGCAATGTTATGTTAAGACAGGTGCTTTGGACGACTACTGCTCTGCTGTGGAGTCACCAGAGTATATTTCTCACTTAACTGAAAACACAAGTTTCATCACAATTAAGATAACAGAAATTGTGATAGGGTATGAAGTTGAGTAAATTTCCTGATCAGGAAAAAGAATTTCTTCTTTCTAAAGAGTTTCTTCTATTCACATAATATTACAGTAAGCAGTGAAAATACAATTTGACTTTAATAAGTTGAAATAGGCATTTAATTTTTATTCTGTGACATTATCACTATTCAAGTCCCTGACAGCTATCATACTCTTACCGTTCAAACTTCCCTGCAACATTATAGCATGATCCATAGTTTTATTTCTTCTACTATAGTAATGTATCTCAATTAAGAGGCAGTACAGTGTGCAAAAGTTAAGAGCACAGGCCCAGGAACAAGCTTACCAGGGTCAAACACCGGCTCCACTATTTTCTTGTCAATGTAACTTTGGGCAAAACCTTTGTCTTGGACTTTTTTTTCCCTATCCACAAACATGGTGGTAACAATGGTACCTACCTCAGAGGACTATTATAAGGACTAAGTGACTTAATAATACATCATATAAAGTCCTTTACACAATATCCAAAATACAGTAAGAGTTCAATAAATATTAGCAATTCTACCTCACCACATAAAGTGTTAGCGGACCTATTTATTTAAAAACAGGACATTTCTACTAATTTACTTAAAAATATGCTTATTTTGAGTACAGTACTGGAAAGTTAACAAAACACAGGAAATTTAAACACAGTTTAAGAGACAGGGAGTTATTCTCAAGAATAACTAAACTGAAGCCTAACCTAGGGATTACAAGACATATACGCCATCCATGTTAAGATGCTCTAGACATAGAAAACTAACAGCAGCTTCAATTATGAGCCTAAGCTGTAAGTCACAGAGAGAGAGAGAGAGACTCAGAACTGGAGGTGATGTGACACTTGAGCGGCTTCACACATGGATGAATCCGTGGCACACTCTGAAGGGAGTAGCTGTCAGTGTTTGTTTAATTCTAAGTAACAATGGGGAGGTCAGTGAGTGCTTATGTAACAGTACTCACCTGTAATGAAACGATCTAATGGCATCACAGGAGCAACATGAGGGGTGGCTTGTGTAATAAGGAGATTTATCAGATCTTGTTTAAAATTTTTCAGTGTAAGCAATGCCCTTGCAACAAGGCCACCCATAGAATGACCAATTATTGCCACACTTTTTGGAGCAAATGCTTGACCCTATTAAAAAAAAATCACCAAAGCATAATTAACACTTAGCATCATAATAACAATGCTAAATACTTCTCTCTAAATAGAAAAAAAATTAAACTCTTTATCTAACCTCTTATAGTAAGCTACAGAAACACATTTGAATTTCTGAACCAAAATAAAACAAACTTGGGTCTAGTGAATCATGTTTCATCATTTGTTATATTAGATGTAAGAGATGTAATTATATTTGGTTTATACCAGATTACTAGGTTTTATAGGATCATTTATTTAAAATTGGAAATACCACAAGAAAACCAGAAAAATTATGGTTGCTACAGTGGCCTCATCATATTTATATAGCTTATCTCATCAAATTATTTCCCTATTAATGCACTTGGGTTTAAAAATAAACCAACATTTCACATTTATTCACTAACAATTACATAGTTTATTTCTTAAATAAGTACTGCATTTTGAAAAAATCTTTTCTGTCTCTACACAGTATGCTCAGTTCCACCACTAAACTTTTGCTCATCTTCCTTCATACTGACCTGTCATCTATGCCTTCTCTCCTGTTACTCTGAATAAACTGGATCTTGTGCAGGAAACAGTTAACATAGTGGGCCTGAAACAGCTATCCTTAGAAAGGACTGCAAATAAGGCTGGCTCTGCTCTGCAGTATGGGACCTTAGATTTCAGGAGGGTTCCCATGATTCCCTAAATGATAAGAATGTCTATGCTAATACTGTGCCAACAACATCCTTTATGCTGAACACTACTGTCCTTCTGGTTGGCTTTTTGGTACATGATAGGCACAGGGTGTCTATATAAGCAATCTTCAATAAAAATCATGAACATTGAGTCTCTAATGAGCTGCTCTCATGGACAACATTTCACACACGTCACAATTTGTTGTAGGAATCAAATGCATCCGGTGTGAATCCTCTGCAAGAGAACTTCTGAAAGCTCACACCTGCATTTTGTCCATACTTAACCCCATGCACCTTTTCCTTTGCTGATTTTGCTTTGTGTCCTTTCGCTGTAATAGTGGGTTGGCCAAGAGTTTTCTTGTTTTTTTCTGGAAGATGGCTCTAGTAGCACTTAGTTATCTTTAACTTCATTTGAAACAATTTTGTTAGATTGTATTGTGACAGCTGTCATATCAGTGTGTTATTTTTAAAAACTTATCAAAAATTGGTGCATTTTTGTGTAGCCATTTCAATATTGAAGGTGGAAGAAAATACGCAACATTTCCAGCATATTATACTTTATTATTTCAAGAAAGGTAAAAACACAAGTGAAATGTAAAAATAAAGATTTATGCAGTACACAGAAATGGTCACTGATTGAACATGTCAAAAGTGGTTTATAAAATTTCACGCTGGAGATTTCTTGCTGCATGGTGCTCCACAGTCGGATAGACCAGTTGAAGTTGATACTGATCAAATCAAGAACAACCAATGTTATACCATGTGGTAGAGAGATGACATACTCAAAGTATCAAAATGAATAAAGTTATTGGTGAAAATGAAAAATGTGTCATTTATGGAAAAAAACATACAAACTTTTTGGCTAATTCAATAAATCATAACATGAGTACAAGTATATGCTGAGTCCCATGAGTCCTCCTGGAGAACCACAGAGCCTGGGAATGGTCTTGGGGATCCCAAACAGACCTCATCTCAGCAAAAGCCAACACTATGTACTTGCTTTGAACGCGACCTCCTTTGGCCTTCTCAAGTACATCACTCCGGCAGTTCTCACCTTCTTCGTGCATCACTGTTTCCCCCCCTCTACTATACCATTCTTGTTAGTAGATAAAGATACTGTTATTCTCCTTTAAAATACAGACAACTCTCTTTTTACTCCCTCTTTCCGCTAGTGACCACACCCTTCTCCACATCCCTTTACCGCGAAACTCTCCAAAAAACAGTTATTTACACAGTATTTGCCGTCTCCAATTTCTCAGCTTCCACACACTCTTAAACCCATTCTAATCAGACTTACACCCCAACACTCCTCCAAAACTGCTTTTACCAAGTCACCAAGGAATCTAATGGCCAGTTCCGAGTCCCCATCTTACTTGACCTATCAACAGCAACGGACCTAGCTGATCACACCTTCGTCTTTAAAATGCTTTACTAGGTTTCCTTGACAATATACTCTCCTGGCTCTTCTTTTACCTCGATGGTTGCTCCTTTTCAGTCCTTGCTCGTTCCTTCTCATTTCCTCCCGTCTCTTTGTAATGGAGAGTCAGGCCTCAATCCTTAGATCTCATTTCTTTCAAAGCTTGACTCCCCAAGGATCTCATCTAGTTTCATGGTTTCATATACATTTAAACCCCAATCTCCAGACTGGACTGCTTTTCTTAAACTCCAACTTTAAACTCTCATGGTATATCAGCTATACTTGGGATGTCTCCTGTGCTTCTCAAATTGAACCTGTCTAAAACTAAACTATTAATCTCCTTCAAATCTGTTCCTCCTACATTTTCCCCACTTCAGTTAACGGCACTTCAATCCTTCTATCTGTTTAGACAAAAAACTTGGAGTCATTCTTAACTCTTCTTTTCCCCTCACATTGCCCCTCCATAACTGATCGGCCATGAAATCTTGTTTCCTCAACCTTTAAGGATTATACCAGTCTGACTACTTATTATCTCCACTGCTACCAACTTGATCTAAACTACTATCACTTCTTGCCAGAATCACCGCAATAGCTTCCTACCTGGTCTCTCTGTTCCGCCCTTACATCCCTTCAGTTTATCCTCAAAAGCACCCAGAATGAAACTGTTAAAGCCTAAATTAGAATATGTCACCCTTTTGCTCAAAAACCTCTACACTGGCTTTCCATATCATTTCAAATAAAAGGCAACATTCTTAAAATTGTCTGCAAGGCTCTATAATCTGCTTTCTTCCCAACCTCTACTCCGGCCACATCAGTCTCCTTGTTTTTCTTCAAATACAGCATGCATGTGTTTGCTTCATGTATTTCTTTCCTTTGCTTAGAGTACTCTTTTCCTAAGTATGCAAATGAACTACTCTCTTAATTTGTATTACATTGTCTGCTCCTCAACAGGTCTTCATAAGACACTCTTATTTATATTTGTAGTCCTCTATCCTTAACTCCCTGTCTCTACTTCCTGTTTTATTTCTCTTCCTGGCATTTATAATATAAATTTTTATTTCTGATGTTTTCTACCTGCCTTTCCCCGCTAGAACATAAAGTCTATGAGGGCTTGCATTTGTTTTATTCATTGCTATATATTTGTATGCAAACTCAGTGAATAGAGGTTTCTCCATCCAAAATGTCCTCTCACTTTCTCTCACTCAAACCCTATCCATTCAACAAGATTCGGTTGTCTGTCTCTAACCCCTATTATAGTTACTTGTTATAGAAATCTCACTTTCTAAAAGCTTCAACTTAAAAAAAAAATTCATTAGTTCTATTACAAATTTAATACGTAGTCATTCGAGAAAATCTGAACACAGAAAATAGAGAGAAAAATGCTTAATTATAATATTAAATACACAATTGTTTATTGCAAATGACAGATATGGAAATCTCACTTTATAATTATGTCTTATTTACCCAATAAATATCAGCTATATAAAAGGTTCTGTGCTTAATATGGCTTCTTTCCTCCTATAATTCTCAGTGTAGATTTAATTTTAATTTTAAAAATATCTGCTGTAGAAATAATTTTAAATGCTAGTTTATGCAAAGAACCGTGATGTCTACATTTCATTTTCAAGATGGAAAGGAAGAGCACACTAGCTGGATTACAGTAGCTTCATAGTTAGGTCCTGAAATCCGGGAGTGCATGTCCAACTTTGTTCTTTTTCAAGACTGTTTGACTTTTTAGGTTTTTTGCATTTGCACATAAGCTTGCCAATGTTACAAAAACACCTGCTACTCTTTTGTTTTGTACTGCTTTAAATCTACCAGGTCAGTTTGAAGAGAATTTACAACTGAATTGTGTGTCCTCCAATCCATGAAGTTGGTTTGTCCATTTATTTCAGATTCTTTAATTTCTTTCAGATTTGAAGTTTTCAGTGTACAGATCTTACAAATTTTACATTAAATTTATCCATTAGAATTATATTTTCACATTACTGTAAATGCATTTTAAAATTAAACTTTCTACTTCCAGTCAAGATGGTGGTGTAGGCAGACATGGCTAGCCTCTTCACACGCAGACATCAAAATTAAAACTAAAATATAGAACAACCATCACTCAGAGCTGCCAGAAATCAAGTTGAATGGAAGTCTTATAGCTATGGAATTAAAGAAGCCACATCCATATAGACTGGTAGGAGGGCCAGAGACATTGAATGGGCTGGTCCCTCACTCACATGTGGTGTATAAAAATTCAGGACAGATATCTCAGGAGCAAGGAATCCCAGCCCTACACCAGGCCCCCAGCTCAGGGTTCCAGTGCCAGGAAGACAAGCCCCCACAACTTCTGGCTGCAAAAACCATTGGGGATTGAGTTGGTGGAAGAAACTTCTGGAGCCCCAAGCAGTTCCTCTTAAAGAGCCCACACATGGATTCGCCTACTCAGACTCACTCCCTCTGAGCTCCAGCACTGGGGTGACAGCTGGAAAGGCACCAGTGGCACACAGGGAGACAATGAGGCATCTGGCATCACGGCAAGCAGAGGCCATTATGCCTTCTCTGAAGGCTCCCCCGACAAGAGCTGGCAGGCTGGAGCAATATCTGAGATTCCATCAACCTGAGTGACACTGTTTGACCCACCTCGGAGGTCCCCAGAGACTCTGCCCCACCCAACTCATGGGCCGACCCAAGCTGCTTTTCCATATGAATGGCTGGTCTTGGCTAATGCTTCACAACTTTCTAAAGCCTCTCAAACAAGCAACAGCTGGCCTCCATGAGCCCCAGGCCCAGCACTAGCAGCAGCCAGCCTAGATTCACAGCTTAGCTTTGCCTGGGAATCCCCAAGCCCAGCACAGGTAGCAGGCATCTCAGATTGCTTTATAGCTCAGGCAGGGTGGTCCCAGGCAAAA